TGTATGTGGGTGTCTTGACTAATTTATTCAACAATACATTCAATGCAAAAAAATGTATAAGGAGTTTAAATGTTGAATAGGTTGAGACAAAGATACATTATCATCAATAAGTTCAATGAGTTTTAATTCACGTCAGGAAATCCAAATTATACATGTTATACTAGCAGTTAAAATGATCAACTTCCTTATCACATTTCAGTATTTAGTACTTTTAACATTTCAGTCAACCAATGTGAGTTTTATCTATATCAGATTCATACACATCACAACAAGATGTGTTTGTGAAACACTATGCGCCCGGCGGCAACAAAGTTTTAAAAACATATTTTTAGCATATAGGTCACAATCAAAATCTCACAAGGTCATTCTTGGTGTCATTAAAAAGAACTTAATTAATGGAGTATGCATACCAAATATGAAGTCTCTATCTTTCATTGTTCAAAAGTTATGGTGAATGTTCAAAAAAACTATTTTAGTATATAGGACAGAATCAAGATCACAAGGTCACTGATCTTGGTGTCATTTGAAAGAACTTAATTAGTGGAGTATGCTTACCAAATAGGAAGTCTCTATCGTATATGGTTCAAAAGTTATAGCGAAGGTTAAAGTTTGCAGAAAAAAACTATTTTTAGCATAAAGGTCACATTCAAGGTCACAAGGTCATTGACCTTGGTGTCATTTTAAAGAGCTAACTTAGTGGAGTATGCATACCAAATATGAAGTCTCAACCATTCATGGTTCAAAAATATATAGCGAAGGTTAAAGTTTGCAGACAAACAGACAGACAGACAGAAGGGCAAAAACAATATACGCCTCGGATCTTTCTATCCGAAAAAAAGAAATTGTCTCCGCATATTCGGATTTCATTTTGTTTCGCTATTTTCCTTACAAAGTTGATAATTAAAGAATGCTTGAGTTCCTCATTGACAACATTTATTTAGTCTACGGAGACCATGCCTTTCAAAAAGCTGTTAAAATTTCTATGGGCACAAATTATTCTCCTTTATAAGCCGACCTGTTTTAGCTCTGCTTATTCTGTGACGTAAGCGGCCCAAAATCTCATCGACCGGTCCAACATCTCACCCGGATCAACGGTCCAACATCGATTGTTTTTTATGCCCACTCGGCAAAACATTAGAAATGTTAGACTTTTTAAATTAGGGAATAACTATCTTCTAATTTGGTATTTGCGACCGTTAATGCTGATTTAACGGTCGCAAACTGAGTTTTACCGGCGACGCGCAAGTAAATACCAAGTTAAAAGATTAGTTATTCCCATTCTAATGCAATCCATGCATTTTGTTTGTTTACGTCTTATTTTGATGAATTTTGATACATGAAATACGTCACGGAGCATTGTGTTTTTGCGTCGCTCTATTATGACGTCACAATGAAAAAGCTTTCACGCTCGTTAATGCTCGTATTACTACTTCAACTTCAGTGCATTAGCCAATCAAGACATGTTTTACAAAATAATTGCATTAGAATATAGATTTCTATAGAACAGATTTTTAAAGGTATAACAAATGAGTCTTTTTTATGTAATTTATATTTATTCATTTGACTAAATTTGGTATGCATAAGTCAATCATATGAGGCACAAAAGAAAAATGTATCTATATTTTCTATCTTGGATGAAATATAGTATAATTTTAGATACATGTATTTCAGAAACCATTAATTTAAGTATGAAATAAACAGTTTTGCATGATGTAAGTTTGGATACTCTCGAATCTCTTCGATTTCATTGTTTGCGTTAAGCTTGTAAAGCATAAGATGAATTTTATGCGATTTGTATGAAGGTTTGATCAAAATTTACATGAAATCATTTATAATTTTGTCAAGATTGATGTATAGTATTGTTTTTTTTGTAATATTTTTTTCAAGACTGATAGCATCCCATTTAGCTTTAAATGTGTTAACTAAATTAATAATCAGGAAAGTTTCATCAAACCTTGTGTCCTTGTATGATAAAAAGTTTAAGTGGTTACAGAACTGCTCTGTAAATTATCCAATTATTAATTTCATTTTCCTTGTAATAATTTCAAATTCACTTGACTTTTAAACCATAGACTTTGTTACATCTAAAAGGAAGAAACCTGTTGATTTAAACATTTTATACACATGTTCTTTGGAATCGAGAATCAAAGCAATATATTAAGTTTCTCGCAATGGTTGACAATAATTTGATTGAATGGAATTGGTCTCTAATTTACGCCACCGCGCCGACAATCACGGTCGTTTTGCTGTACCTCTGTTTCGGTTCCATTGGAAATGCAGTGCTTCTTATGTTCTACATAAAGAAGAAAATCTCTGGAGATGGTCGCTATTTTATCCCAGTTCTGGCCTGCGTAGATTTACTGGCTTGTACCATATGTTCTCTCTGTGTTGTATTGAATTTTTATTTTCTGGTACTCTTCTATTCAGATTTATTGTGTAAGTTGTTTTATTTTATCATCTTCTGGATTCTCAGTACTTCTATTGTGCTGGTTTTCGCGATTTCATTTGACAGATATCGTAGAACGTGTCAAATCAAAAAGAAACAACTGACAGACAGAGAGAAGAGGAAACTGATTTTTTTTATAGTTATATCGTCCGCCATTTTGAATTGCCGACGTTTGCAACGTGTGGAAGTCAGTCATTGCCAGTGACAATTGATAACGAGACATTTCAAGGAGCCTTCTGTGCCATTGCAACTAAAAGATACCCAAATCTTGAACACATCTACTCCATTGCCATAGGATTGGCTACAGTAGGGAATTTTACGTGTACTATGGTCTTGAACGTAAAGATTGCCTACGTCATCCGCACAAGACTCCGAAAATTTTCATCTCATTGCATTGAAAACACAACTAAACATAATCCCGAAGACCTATTGGATATCTCGATTACAGAGGAAGACATTCACATAAAACCACTCACAAGAGGAACGGTGGGTGATGATTTGGACGATTCACAACTGAATCACCCATGTTGTTCTTCGAACAAAGAGTCTCAAACCCTAGAAATAAGTACATGTATTGAAAGTGACCGTGCAATGGGAGCCAACAGTGGCAAAAAGAAAACTTTTTTTTCCATTCATGAACCAAACAAGGAACTCGCAAATTTGCCAAAATCCCGTGAAAATCCCATACGATCCATTTCAATTAGAACGGCACTAAGGAGATCTCGATTTTCTACTCATATAATGTTTTTAACAATGTTTGTGATATTTCTTATTTCGTATTTACCTCCTCTCGTTATTGTGCTCATATTGTATAATAGTCCTCAAAATTTCCAATGGTTAACGGAGCAGAGTTCTTTCAAAATTAATTTGTTCTTTCTTCTCAGGACATCATATCTCTTAAGTCACGCTGCAAACCCTTACATAAATTGTCTTTTTGACAGAACATTCCGAAATATTTTGATAAATTCATTTAAATGTACTTAACGTATAAAGAGGAACATGATTGAAGGGTAGAATTTAAAATCTAAAATCAAGGTCTTTCTTTTATTTTCCCACAGCAAAGCTGTAATAATTTGAACTTATTTCGCCTCCATCATAATCATATGATGCATTTGCGTAACTTATATCAAATATATCTAGCTTTCATCATGTTCATAAGTTATTCTCAGTAGCTTTCGAGATTTATTACTCTATTAAAATGAATTTTTTCTCATTTAACTTGGTGAATTACATGCGGTGTCTCATTTTATTGTTATTGTTTAATGCTAAAATTTTCTTACTGTCACGTTGTAATTCATACATGTAGTCTGGGAATAAAAAGAATGCAGTATTATCTCTCTTACTGAATGTACATCATTCTGACTTTAAAAATATTACATGGTTTATGAATAATAATCAAACATTCTCACGACAGGACGGAAGTTTGATATTCATTTTATTCTATTCATTTTGTTTAATTAGTCATTTATTAAGTTTGGTTTAATTAGCTCATTATCTCCTAAGGGAGAGTTGTACAATTATGGCCAAGTGTAAGTCTCTATATTCCTGATCCTTTGATATTGTTGAAAAGACAATGGCCAAAGGCTAGGTCATATATAGATTTTTACATTCTTCTTTGATAAAGTTACAGCATAATAATTTTTTAAAATTTCTTTTGACTTTGAGCTTGTGCATCTTTGACTATAGTTGGAGCTTCTGAAATCATTTTAATATCTCAATGTTCCGATCGTCAAAAATAAGGACACACTTTCGGGTCGTGTTTAAACTTCTTCCGATGAACAATGTCTCTCATGTTCAAAATGAAAACAATTGCCGTCCTACAGAAATACTGTTAAACAGTATGAGTCGTACATGGCTATCCTCACAACCAGTAACACTTTTCATTTCATATTTAATGGGTTTGACTGCAGTAATGAAAATACAAAATCTTTTTCTTAGTTCTCAACCTGAGGCCCGCGTGGCGCAGTGGTTAGGGCGTCTGCTCTAGAGTCGATCGCGGAGTAAGTAGTTGATCCTTATGTCACGGGTTAGAATCCCACCGTGGGACGTGGAGACCGGTCCTGCGGATGAGACAGAATAAATTGAGGTCCCGTGTGACAGTAGGTGCTGGCACGAAAAGAATCCCTCCCTTCTCAATGGCCCTGAGTGCCGAGTATAAGACAAAATTTGCAGCTCTCCATCGGCAAGTGGTGGCGTCTCCGTATAAGTGGAAAATTCTTAAGAGTGACGTTAAACAACATACAAACAAACAATCTGTCGCCAGCGTGGGGTAAAAGTACGACTGTACGTCTGCTCCGGAGTCGTTACGTTGTGAGTTCAAATCCCACTGTTGAATGTAGAGATCGGTCTTTCAGATGAGACCGTAAAAATTGAGGTTCCGTGTCGCAGTACGTGCTGGTTCGAAAAAGATCCCTCACTGTAGAATGTTCTTGAGTGCCGAGTATAGGAACATTGTATTACCGGGTAATTTGAAGCCCTTCCCCGCATAGTGGCGTCTCCATATGATTGAAAAATTCTCGAGGTGAATGTGAAACAACAAAAAAACAAACAAAATAAACAATCAAATTTATCTCTTAAACAATTTAATTTACAAATTAATTTACTTCACAGTTCGCTGTCATAAAGTTGATCGGATTTCACCGAATATTAATTTGTTCCAAAGTCTCTTACTTCCCAACTGGGACTGGAAAAAAATGAAAAACTGACAAATATTCTACAAACATATGAAAGCCATATTTAAGGAAATAGAGAAATGCATGAAAAAAAAATTTAAAAGACAATTTTAATTTAATGTCTAACTTTTTCCAAATTATCTGTAATTCAAGTATACTTACTAGTTGGAATCGGTACCTGACAAAGACCTGAAAAAAGAAATAAATTTGTCTGATTAATATGATATTTTCTCATATTGTATGAAATGGTCAATTTTATTTCGTTTTAGTCGATAAGACCTTTTAAATGTAGCATTTAATTTGTGGTAGCTGTAGAGAACAGGCGCGTAGCATCGTTTTTGGAAGTGGGGGGGCCAACCTGAGAAATTTTTTTTTACTTACCTGAAAAAGTTGACAACCAAAAAAAAAAAAACAAAAAAAAAAAAGGAAAAATTAAAAGTTGCCCGAAGTCGAAAATCCTATTTCGTGGGGGGGGGGGGGGGGGGGGGGGGGGGGTTGGTAGTGGCTAACTTTTTTCAAGAAAAGTTTGAGGTTACTTTTCTTATAACACTACCCTTTGCTGAAATGTGGGGGGGCCAACCTTCCTTTCCTATAGTAAGATAATGTCGGGAGAAAAAGTGGGGGGGGGGGGCCTGGCCCCCCCCCCCCCTGGCCCCCCCTGATACTACGCCCCTGGAGAATACCGGTATAACACTATATATATAATATGTACGACCACTATGATACAGTAGTTTGAATGACAAATAGAAATGAATACTATGGTTAGAAATTTGAACATTTCATTGTTTTCGTCCATAGACATAAATTTAATCTATGGTTGCTTCATAAGACAAAGTCAACAAAATTAACCACCACCACTACCAGAATAAGAGATTTCAGAAATCAAAAAAAAAAACAAAAAAAAAACAAAAAAACTAGTGATCAAATATTTCGTAATATCCTATATACAATTAAACTACAGTTTACCTCTATCTGTCTATCGTTTAACCACAAATCGCTAGTTGTTACAGAATATAAATATTTGATATATTTCACATTTTACTACATATTTAAATTATTTATATTTTCGAGAAAAAATGGCTTAATACTGAAAATCCATTTTTAATTTCTAAATTGACAATGTACGTGTATATTAATGCTACCAGACCTGTGGAAGCTTGGTTAAGGTGATGATTTTCCATACATTTTAAATCCAGGTGAGCCTTCAGCACAGACCGCTGTGGTGTGGACAGAGCAGGTGTCCGGGAAAGCAGGGAGACGTGAACAGCTGACCTGTCACAGGTACCTTGGATTTCAGGAGCATAGCACAGGTACACCAGGGCAACGTTTGAGTAGTCAATGTATGCAACTCGTAAAGCAGCTACATGTATTCAAAAGTAATATTAAAAGGAAAAGGAACATTTAAAAAAAGTAACTAATGAATAAAAAAGCCAAAAATATAAATAAATACTTATGATGAAAGAGACCAAGCATAAATTTATTGTTTTTTTTTTTTCAATAAATCGAGCAAGTTGCATACATTTCGTTCGACATGGTTCACTGATCAAAAAATATAAAATTATTAACTCACGCCTTCCCCTCTGACTTCAATGTGTGAACTTGATACATGTATCTTATACAATATACCTACACGCTTTCCCTCTGACGTCAGTGTAACTTTAATACGTCATCACTCACCTTCCTACCTTCCCCCTGTCGTGCAATTTGTTACTTCGTGTCTTCTTAAACAGTAAAAAAGTCTCTTGCTACAGTGTGTACACACATACATACATTCTCTTGATCCTCTCTGGCGTCAATGTGTAAATTTAATATCTCGTGACTCATTTTGACTCGCCTTCATATCTTCCTTCTGACGTCATTTTGTAATTTTGGTATCTCGTGACTCATCATCCGACGTCGATGTGTAACTTTGATGCGTTCATGACTCACCTTCATATCTTCCCTCTGCCGTCATTGTGTATGCCCCTCCTGTTCCGCTCAAGAGTCCGGTGTTAGGGGAAGTACAAGACTGTGTGCGAGGACTTGAAAAATTGATTCATTTATTGTATATACTGTGTATCTTTTCATTCTTCTTTTGGCATTCAAAAAGCATGCTCATGTATTATTTTCCCCTTCTATTCATTTAATTATTACTCATCGGATGTTTGACGTCAAGTATATAAACACATTTTAGAAATAAGTTTTTTTCCAAACCAAACCGCAATTATATTCGAAAAATGTCAAGTAATGAAGAAATTTTCAGACCTCAACGGTATACATTTACTATACTAGAGACTTAAATTTAGAAAAAATATTATATACAGAGTAGAAATGTTCGAAATCAAAACCCTTCACAAGTATCGTCATTTTGCAGTTAGTGTTGTGTACAGAGTTTCGCAAATTGAACACACCCGTGAAACGTACACAGTTTTTGTAAACAGGGCTCGAGCTTTGTTATTGTCAAGGCTTACGATTCACCGGGGTGTTTAAAGTCTGCTCACCACAACTGCACGGACTGAGGTTATTCTGTGTGTTTGTTTTGCTTTCGAACATTTTTACTCTGAATTTTATGGATTATAGTTTTAATATTTTTTATTAATATACATCAAGATTGCCACTTTTGCTAAGTATTAAGAATAAAATTAAAATTTGTGAAATTGAAAGGATGTGTCAATCAAACCCGTCCAAGTTTCATTAACGTTTAGATGAAATAAGATTTTTAATATATTTTCGTGGGAAATGTTAATTGCAATATATAAGTGGTGATATTATACAGAAATTTTGAGAAAATATTAAGTTCAAATCTGTGTCTATGTACCTTTAAAGGAAACACTTGAAATGGGACATATAAATGTGTATACTAGTATGTAAATTTTAATACAGAGAACATTAGAAGAAATCGATAGATGAGTTTCTCTGAGTACTTGAAAAGAATTAAAAGAAAACATTTTGTCCTACTTCTAATATATTTGTCCTGCATAGTTTAGAATGTCAAGGCTATCATTCAAAAGATAAGATTTAGTCCTTGGTTTGTGGAATAAAATGACAAGGGGCAAACGGCGGGTGTGACCGGTCGGCAGGGGATGCACACTCCTCCATGGCACCTGATCCTACCACTGATGTTTTGGAGCTCTGTGTTTGCTCTCTTCCTGATTTGTTTTGTTTAAATGGCCTTTGGACTTCAATACTGTTCATTATCTGTGTATATCATGAAAAGGTGTAAACTATAATATTGATATCAACTTAGGGACCTATAGGCCTTGACTGTGAATTGTGTAACACGTTGGAGACCACTAGTATCAGTATTTAGGAAATTCTTCCTGTCTGGAATAGACATTTGGATTAACTTAAAATTATAATTGCATTTTCTTTTCATGAAACATATGGAGATAACGAACACTATCCAAGATCAAAAGTCCACAAAACAATACAAAATAGGAGCTGAGTAAACACGGACCTCCAAAGCATCGGAGGTTGGATTAGGTGCCATGGAGGAGTGAGCATCCCCTGCCGACCGGTCACACCCGCCGTGTGCTCCTTGTCATAATCGGGAAATAACGGGAAAATCCGTTGTTATTTAATTCAGTGTATGAATAATGGACTAACAATAAGTATGAAAAACGTCAGTCAGCATTTGACTCAATGTAATTGCTGACAATGTCATTGTATCGACCATAGAACTTACGAAATGATGATTTTGATCGAGACTGCAGTATTGTCAAATAAGGTTAATACCTGGATAGGGTTTTGTATAGTAGTGTTCGAGTAAAAAGTTTGATACTGATAAATGTTTTAACATTTACTGACCATCATGTGGTTTTCAGATTTTCTCAAGAAAATTTCCTACATGTGGTTGTGTCTTACCCCAGGGGTCATGATTTGATCAAATTTGAACCTTCTTTATTTAAGAACGATTCTATATTATTAATACGACTAACCATGCCTTGCTATTCTTGAAAAGGAATATTATAAAGATTATTCTTATGCATTCCTATGTAAAACTTTAACCGCCAAAAGTGTAACAACCTGTGGACAAATGATTTTCACAAACTTGAATCTACACTGTCTGAGGATGTTTCTATATAATATGACTAATCATGGCTTTGTTGTACTCGAAAAGTACATTTTTAAAAGATTCTTTCTATGAATTTCTTTGTCAGCATTTTGATTGCCCTTTGTGGTCCCATCCTACGCCTAGGGGTTATGCTTACAGCTCAAATAAGCAAAAATGATATCGAAAAGAATTGTTAATTAAATACTAGTTACGAGTAATGTACACGCACTGAATACTGAATATTCTATTTTGTAGCATATTTCTCCCATATTTTGATGACATGCAATTGAGTAATCACTAGATGTAATAAATACAGTGATGTTAAATTTAGGCTTTGTTGTACTCACGCGAACCCTGTGTATGCCATATACAGGTGACCGTCGCTTCCTCGTTTAAAGGTCCACACCTGGGAGTCCCACGTGTTGTCTCCCCATTGAAATGTCGTCCTCTCTAATTCATGCCATGTACCAAGAAACTGTAGAAAAAAATTCACAGAAAAATTATTTTTTAATAATAGTGCATCAACGATTGTTTATCAATAAGTATGCCTATAAATAAATTATCTCATTTATAACTCTGCTAGTCTAAGAACTTTAAATAAGAATTTTTAATATCATTAATATATCCATTAGTTGGTTTTACTGCAAAGCTGAAAAAATATAGAAACTGTCAATCATAATTATGTAAGAGAGCAAGATTTTTAATAATTTATCTTTTTTTAAAGTGAACGAACAAACAACATACTTACTCCTGTTTCATTAAAGTTGTTTACTAAATGCGTTCTGTCAAAATCACATCTCACTGCTTGTAAGACTCTGATACCAATTAAAAATAAAAATGATGAAATCAATGTCAAGAAATGTTCAAACATGTCCAAAAAAAACCCCCGAAATTCTCGATAATTCCCAAATTATATCAAACTTTTTGATTATACGTGGACTATCTATATAATAATATGAATAAGCTAGGTTATGTAAGGACAATAAATTTATGATAAAGATATATATACGGCACACCAATTGGATCTAAGGATTTTCTGACATGAACAAAATACGTTTTAGATATATGCTTGATTTCTTCAGAAGTACTGTGCAACAATTTTCGAGAAGTGATGTTTATCAGATGTAGATACTTAAAAATTCAAAGGAACTTTTGGAAATCACAACATTTTACCAAAATTAAAAAATGATTAAACGTTCTTTTTGAAAAATTTATCGAAAGCTCTTTTATGTTAAGTTTGTGAGTAAAATGTCAAGAGTTTACTCATCGATAAATTTTTCAAAAAGAACGTTTAATTCTTATAATTCCAATTACGAATTTTGAAAAAAAATTATTAAAATTGTTTCTCTCTGAGGCCTCCATACAATGCGTTATTTATGTACAGCGTAGGAATACTTTAGGGACCAGGCAAAATGTATCACAATGGGGGGACCAGAACAAAACAAATTTCTCAAAAAAAAGTACATGTCCCATGGCATTCGTATTAAAAAAAATTATCTGTCCCATGCCTTAAGACTTATAAAAAAGTTACTGTCCCATGGTTACATTTACATCTTGGTGTTAGTGAAATTATTGGAACAGATTACAGATATTTCAAACATCGATGAAGGGTTTTTTTTTTTTGTTTTTTTTTTTTCATTTTCAAACTTTGTAATACATGTATATTCCAATAATTTGAAGATTTATGATTTTATGTTGCCATTTGTATCCTTCGTTTGAGTTTCAAAGATGTTTTTTTTTTAATTATCTGCCATAAACATATTAAAATTATATGTTTAAATTTAATGAATATATTTCTCTTGGGTTAAGTGCTTTAACTCACTGGAAAAAAAAGTTTGTGTCCCATGGGTCTTAATGCTAAAAATGTTTTTGTACCATGGTTTTCTTCGATGAAAAATTTCATTGTCCCATGTCCGTTTGTACCGGTCCCATCATTGTGATAAATTTTGCCTGGTCCTTTAAGCCGCAAAGAAACGAAATCGAGATGAATTTCGATAGAGTTCAGCTTAAATTGTCAAAACAGTCAATAAATAAACTTTTAAAAATTCACCAAATATGTTGTTCAAGGCAACAAATATCGTAAGTACGAGTATACCTCAGAATAATTCGTCCTTGACCATGGCCATGTTGACATTAATTAACGACAACGCTCAGAGCGAAAGTTGCAGACCGACGACGCTCTCGATTTCCTCTGGTTTGTTCAAAGATTGAGGAAGAATATAGGATGTAAAAATATGAATTTGATGCTTATACGGCTAGAGTTTGAGGTACGTTTCTTTTTCCTATCACAACAATACCAACTGAGCTGATTAAACAAATTGGTGAAACAAGAATATCAGCACTCTCGTTTAAAGTAATAATTTTGTAAGTTCTATAAATTTGACCGGTCGGCACAGAATGCTTACTCCTCCAAGGCACCTGATCCCAGCTCTGATGTTTGGGAGGTCCGTGTTTGCTCTGCTCCTATTTGCATTGTTTATTGGACGTTTGAGCTTGAATACTGTTGACTTCGTTATCTCCATATATTTCATTCAAATCCTGGTAATTTACGCCGAATAATTTCTCGGTCTAGAACTGAAGTTACGATAATTTTAGATAATCTTATAAAATTATCAGTGATCAGGGGGAGATAAGTTGTAAGGTACACTTGCGTTATGTAAGACTTATATCACCTGAGCTTTTGAACAATTTTTTTCTGGGTCCCTATTTCTAAATTTCTGACATATTTTTTTCATATTTGGATATTTTACTAGAAAAAGACATTAATGATACTCTAACACCAAAACTTTGTAATACACGTGATGACTTTAACATTCTATCCTCAATTTGCATTTCTTAGTAGAAATATACCTTTATCACCTGTATAAAGGGGTCTATTTTCTCCGATTGATTAGATACGCGAGAGCACGCTCTATGTACGATCAATTTCTAAATCAAGGAAAGCTTTCAACATTATGTAAAAGTGAAGATAAGGAAAAGTGATCGATCCCAAAAAATCCACAAACAATTATACAAACATGTGAAGACGGTATAAAACATGGAGCCCTGGAATTTCCCTGTTAACCACCACACCCGCAAGCTGTATGTATTAATCGGGTGTGCGGAACTTTCCAGTCAAACTTAGTATAAAAAAAATAAGTATAAAAACAAAGGTGTAAAGAATTCGGCAAAAATACGACCCAATGATAGGTTATATTTGCTCATTATATAATGATCATAGAATTTACGAAATGGCTACTTTAAAAGAGGTTCTTAAATCCCTGTTACAGTAACATCAACTTTTCAGTGAGTAGCCTGCCTCACTTAAGAATTGATCGTATTCAGAGCAAGCTCTTGATGAGACATAAATAACATCAGCAGGTGAAAGTGGAAAAAGGAAAATTGACATTGGGAGGCTAGCTTTAATCTATAGTCAGTAAAATATCCAAATATGAAACAGATGTGGCAGACTCTGCGGTATCTTTTATTTCAAGTTCATTTGGGATATGTCTATTCGTCATATGAATGAAAATAACAATTGTTAATTGGTCATTTGAATGAAAATAACTATTATTAATTGGTAAAATATTGTTGATTCATTTAAATGTCTAATTAAAGATCGCAGCAAGTGTTTTTTTTTCTCTTCTGCTGTAAAAGTTTTTGAATTAATTCTGCTTCATAGGAATATAAAAAGGTCAGGTATTAAAGGAGCACAAAAACCATCGGATTTCTAACGGTTCTTTGAAAAGTGATCTCTGAAGACTATATAAATGTAGTCAATGAGGAACCCCAGCATCTTTTTTATATCAACTTCAGATTACATAATCAAAGTAATTTTAACGCAGTAATTTCGCTGAAGACCAATCACAAGATGAAAACATTTCAAGTTGATGAAAAATAATATTAACAGTCTCATTCAACATGTTCAAAGTCATCATTTCCTAAGTTCTATGGTTGATACAATTACATTGTCAGCAAAATAATTTTCGTTGGGTCGAATGCTAACTGACGTTTTTTCCTGAATTGTTACGCCATTATTTACACACTGAATTATCTACGGATTTTGTTTCGTTTTCCCAGTCCACGATATGACAAGGAGCACACGATGGGTGCTACTTATCGACAGAAAATGCTTACTTCTCAATGGCACCTGATCCCACCTCTGGAGTTATGGATGTCCGTTTTTGCTCTGCTCTCAATTTGTAAAGCTTCGATGGACTTTTGAACTCGATTACTGTTGGTTCTCTACTTAAAATGGTGTTGTTATTACACAAAATTTAATTTTTGAACGGGGAATATTAAGTTAGTTACAACTTCATGTATTCTTTAGCTTACATGTAGGTAATCATATTTATTGATCGAAGTGCTAAAAAAAGTCATATGAATAAATAATATTTTTAACTTACCAATAGCCTATACTATATGGTTTTTTAAATTAACATTTGCTTGTTATAGTTTACTACATAGACTTTGTGATACAAAGAATATAAATACAATGTACTGTCAAACCTTGTTATGATAATGAACTTTGATAGGTTTGCTATATTGCTGAGATATTCGAGAAGTTGAGATATTGAGAATAATATTCAGAAAGTTTAAGTGTTTGGGACCTGCCATTTACTTTGAAATATCCATGCCATTTGAAATATTTCAGTTCTCTATTTTAAAAGGTTAAAAAAAAAATAAGGAAAACTGCAAAGTACCTTTCTATCAATAACTCTTCTGAACAACAAGTTTTGTTTCAAAAATCAATTTTATTTTCAGTTTTGAAGTTATTAACATCATGAAATAAAACTTTGAAAAAGGACGGAGAACTGAATACATATAAAACCAACAACACTAACTGTAAATCAATAAATATTATCACATGACTACCAGGTATAACACACAACAATCAAATACATGTAATATCACGTGATACATTATATAAAAATACCACATCTCTTATTATAAATACATTTCATTATAATGTACATCAATATGTCAAGTGAGGTGTTATGATAAGACTAAGCCATGCCCCATCTTTATCAATCTACAACAATTTACAGTTTTCAACAATGGAGGAGAAAAAGGATTTACATGCAAGAACATTTTCATATATGGTCATAACGCTACAATACTACATTAATAAATATAGATTCATATATGTACCTCCACACTTTTCCTCAAGTTCTTTGCCAGATAGAAATGGACAGAGAATGCAGGATAGATACCATCCTGAACATACTATCATTATATTGCACTTTTTTTTTAATCAACATTTACAATCTCACTTTTAATAATATTTTTAGAGAAATTTCAAAACTTTCATTACAATATTGGGAAAACGAAATAATTTTAAAAGAATGATTTAGAATAAGATGATTTTAAAATTGTTATGTTTTAAAATATGCAAATAAATTTCATTTACACTACTTGGGAGTTCTAAATATAAAACTAATGCCTCATTGAGCACACTAACCTGGAAGTCTTCAAAGTATCAAATGAAAATAAAGTTTGTACATATCAATTATTTCATATGAGTAACAAAAATAGACAGGAAAAGAAGGATCCTAAATGTTAAAAGTTTAATGCTGAAGTATGCAATGCACCTGATTCAATTTATATGCAATACACGACAAAATGATATATTATTCATGAACAGCTTTATGGGACTTTTAATTTGACAAGATTTAGAACACCCTGTAATTGGAAAATTATTTAATTTAAAAAGAAACTAGTTAACTTTTAATAGTGTCCTGCTGTCTCAGAATCCACAACACTTGTAAACTGTTCCTCTCCGAGATTCACGTTTTCCAGATTGGCTGCCGATTTCTTCTTGGCTAAGTACTCCTCTAGGTTTTTCATCACTGTATGGGGATTCCTCTTGGCATGATTTTCAATATCTGAAATTCAGTAAGTAAAATATAATATCAAAATGTATAATTATTTTGATTTCCACTTTAAAATCATTTTATCATGTACAATTTCAATCATCAAAATTTTAATACCTTTTTAATTATGATATCATAAGCATTTAGTGAAAAACTTAAGCTCTATGAAACGTTTAATTATCCTTATTATTTATGATCAATTTCCTTTTTTATTACTGACATTGAATTACTTGGATAAACATTTAATCAGTTGTCCTTTATGAGCATACTTATATTTATGAACCAATCAACCAGGATTAACTGAATGCAAATTAAGACAAGTCACATATTTTATAAACTAGACTAATAACTGTAGTGGACAGAATTTCCACCTAACACTAAGAGTTACTTATATAGTTTCCTGGATTACAGCTGGAATAACTTTGCCACCTTACACAAGCTTGAATACTTAATACTTGGATTAAAGCCAGATAGAAATTGCTGTAAAATTTGCCTCATTAAACAAAACCCAATACTTACGCTGTAAAACAAATCCAGAGTCTGAGATGGTTTTCCCCTGGGATTTCCACACTTGATACATCTGTAGATATAGTCCTGTGTAAAAATCACACACAACTGGAAGGACCTCTTTCTGTTTATTGCACTCTCTGTAAAAAAAAAAAATTGATTTTTAAAGCTCTTCCTATGTGTCTTTTCATAATAAACAAAGCAGCATTCATCTTCAGAACACATTCCTGGTTTGTCCACATCTATCAAAAACTTAATCTTTACACATAGTTGAATGTGTGTGAACTGTTGATAAGTCATTCTCACCTTCAATAGTACATTTCCTCTGACTGGTTAAGAACTACATACTGTATACAGGGTTATTTTCGCCCTGTGTTATTTTCACCCTTTCATATTTGGAAACAAGTTTGTCCCGTTTTAACATTACACAGGAAGATTCTTGTTGCACAATTACTGGTATATTGATATGAATTTGCTGACTAATAAAAAGGTGTGATAATATAGTGGTGAAAGTTTCCCTGCATTTTATATGAAGAAGTTTTACTTCTTATATTTCGGCTATTTCAGTAGAGCCTGCAGGGAATCAAAACCATTTCTTCACACATTTATTAATAATTTACAATTTACACATGTTGATAGGAAATATTTGAATTTTGTTTTATCTGATAAAAACAAGTATTACTGATAGTATATGTATATTTAAACGTCAGCTGATTTAACAATTCCATTAGGACTGTTGTAGCTACTGTATTTGCACTTTAAAAAGCGGGCTTTATATTGTAGCAGCTTTGAAGCAGACAGCGATAGGCAAATCTCTCAACATGTACCATCAATAAATTATTTATATAACCATATGGCACCTCTCAGTATCTATTTTATGAATATGCTAACCACTCAATACCTAGTTATTGTGCTAAATTTTGAATATGCCAATTTACTTACATACACAGTATATTTTTACCTGAGTGGGATGAAGAGAAAGTTTGTAGATTTCACTAGCCAGCACCTGTCGTTTGGCATCTCTCAACAAGTAGATCAAATGTAACAGACCTAGTAACCCTACACCCCTCAGATCTGTTGATGGATCCCTGCCTAAAACACAAAAATTAATAGATCAGAATTAACCACCCCAATTAACATTCATCAACTAAACATTTGTCAGACCAATCAAATTATTAAATAAATTTACATTATACATGAACATTCAATTCAGCATTGAATAGCAGGAATCAGCTTATAATTTCTTCAAATTGAATCTAACTGTTATACACGATATATACATTAATTTGATTTTTCACTCAATTTTTCTCTCATAATTTACCCTGAAATCCAATTTCCTCCCAATGGTTTCCATAGCGCGGACAGTCAAACCTTGACCCCGTGAGACTGCGATAGATTGTCTGTAGAGATCTGACATGGATCTGGTTAGAATTCTCAAGCACCGCTGGAAATAAAAAAAAGATTAACATGAAAAGGGGTGTGTGTGAATCCACTTTAAAACTTTGATGAATGACTTCCAATTTAATTTTGTTGCATTTGAAGCTTTCAAATTCTTTAAGCATTGCTGTAGTTAAGTTTATGTTTTTCCTGACATCCCCCCTTCACACAAAAGAAGGTTTTTTTAAAGACTGATGATGCAGATAATTTGCATGTGAAAGTTTTGGGGAAAGGACTTTTAATGATTGAAATGAACCCTTTGACTTTCAATTTTCTAAATTCTACCATTAAAAGATTTTTTTATTTGATACATCAGGGCTCGACATTAACTTTTTTTCCTACTTGTCCATTCAGACAAGTGACCAAGACATTTCCTTGTCCGAATTTCAACTTCACTTGTCCAAATTTTTTTTATTAAACATCTAATTCTGTCAACAGTCCATTTCAATTTTCATACTTGCTTGATTGATTTGTGTTGTTATTGATAAATACAACAAACACATAAAAAAAATATCTAAACTTCTTGTCCTGATGACAACATAAATGTTCAAAAATGAATCGGTAAACATCAAACAAATATAGGCCTATTCCAAATGTTGTAATGCCTTGCACTAGTATGCAATCAGTGAACATCGATCCCAATGAAGTGTGAACTTAATATTACAGAGTGACTGATATTGGGATCAAAATTCGGGGTTTATGTACTACAGTGTACTTGCGTTTTTATTCGATAAACTTTTCACTAGTCTTTTTTTATTATCATGATTATTTGGATACTTCTTTACATGAAAAAGCACTTGTCCTGTCAGACAAGTGTCCAGCAATATTCACTTGTCCGTAATTTTTTTTCACTGGTTCTGGAATACCTTAATGTCAAGCCCTGTACATATATTGAAATCACTTACATGCAGCTATACAAAATATCCTATCTCTTTCTTCATGTAGATTTTTATGCAGTTTTGGTGGTCCAAAGAGGAAGTACTTCAGTGCAGAAAAACCATGACGCTCTACAGTTGTCCGGATTTTGTCCTGAAATCATACAAATAACTGAAAATTAGCATCTCTCTCCCACAGCAAATACTCAACAACTTAACTATCATTTTTTGTTCTTGCTTTTTCCAGTTAATTCATATTTTGACAGGAAGATAATAAAGAGATAAATATGTTTATTCAAACACTTATCATTTTCTTGGGGGAAGGGGTAGGCTCTGAATACATGTACTGACCTTGACTCCTGTGAAATCCTGGGAGACAAAATGTTCTGACATCTCAAAGAAAGACAGCATCGGGGCATTGGTCACTACACTCTCTGTGGATATAAGACTAAAAGTTGATTAAATATTTCAATTCTGAATCTAATTACAGTGTGCATTGGGTGAAGAGAGGAAGAGGTAAGCATTTTAATTTATTTTCCGGAGGAAGGGGGTATCATTTACTCTAATCATTAATACCATTTTTTTCTGGTGCATTACCTTTCTTTCTTGTATCATTCTCATCCACAAACCCTATAAACAGAAAAACATATTTAATCTACAGAAATCTGCAATTAATTTTTTCTGGTACATCTTCAGTAAAATGTACTGATTTGAATCACTGTATTAGGATGAAGATGATGTTTACCTGCTTCTATAGTCTGTACTTTATCCCACTCGTCCTGGGCCCGATTGTTAACGTGGAATGTCTCAGATACTGCACCATTCTCACAAACCTGGCAAATCAATAGTACTTAGTAATATTCATAAAATGATAATACTTTAATTAATTCTATTTCATAGAGGTCATTCACCATTTAAAGACTTAAAGGTGACAATATTTTGATATAATTCCTTCAATCTAACAAAAAGTAGGGGGTCATTGGATTGTCATTGATCAAGTTTACCTGTTTCAATACAGAGTTCCCTATCTCACTAACTGTCTGACCCTGCAAGGTTATTTTCTCTCTGTCAGATGTAACATGAGATGTTCCTTGATTGGTCAAACTCTTCTCAGAAACATTTACCCCTGGACCAGTTAAAGTGTCCGTACTAGACACAACCTTCACGGTCGGTTGAATTTCTACCTTTGGGCCTACGGATTCTGTAGCAGTCTGAGATTTTAATGCAGAGGGCGGTGAACTTGAATCTTGTGTTTTTGGTAGGTCTGTTTGAGGAGGGAGATTCTGTGGAGTGTTTTTACTTGTAGGTACATCAAAATCAAACTCATCATCCGAGTCTTCACAACTCTTTGACGTTGAGATCTTTTCAATTGTCAAGACACTGCTCTTCTCTGTTATTTTCTGAAGGAAAGAAAAAATTATAGCTCTTAAGTTAAATTGGACATCTTGAATTATGCAGAGCTGAATGTCAAAATGCCATTGGTTAAATTGTTCAAGTTATGTAACAATCATGATAAACTTTATTCCAGTATGAACATTTTTTATTTCAAGTAAAAAACAAGATGTGTTATTGAAACACTATGCGCCCGCTGGTAAGAACGTACCAAAAAACTATTTTTAGCATATAGGTCACAGTCAAGGTCACAAGGTCAATGGCCTTGGAGTCATTTGAAAGAGCTTAATTATGATTGCATGCATACTAAATATGAGGTCTCTATCTCTCATGGTTCAGAAGTTATAGCCAAATTTCGAAAAGCTATTTTTAGCATATAGGTCACAGTCAAGGTCACAAGGTCAATGACCTTGACGTCACTTGAAAGAGCTTTATTATTGGAGTAAGCATACCACATATGAAGTCTATATCTTTCATGGATCAATAGATATTGCAGAAGTTTGAAAAAGCTATTTTTAGCATATTGGTCACAGTCAAAGTCACAAGGTCATTGACCTTGATGTCATTTGAAAGAAGTTTATTGGTGGAGTTTGCATACTTAATATGAAGTCTCTATCTCTCATGGTTCAAAAGTTAATGCAAAGGTTAAAGTTGACAACAGAAAGACAGACAAACATATAAACAGACAAACAGACAGGACAAAAACAATATACGCCTCGGATCTATCGATCCGGGCACATAAAAATGCTACACATTATTATTAATGATAATTATTAATGTTAACTAAACAATTACCTCTCCTCCTTCTGTTTTAGTTATTTTTACTTCAGTCGTTTGTTGTTCTATCTTCATTGTTTGACCACTACTGGACTGTGAAGTCTTTATTTTCTGAAGAACATTCTTCATCAGAGCAGACTGCTGAACATCCTGGGCAGTGTCAGGCTTCTTCTCTAGATTTTGTTGGACAGTACCCTTAGCTACACTTGAGGAAACTGAACTTGATTTATTTTCAGTCGACTCCATTCTTGACAAATTTCCGAAATTAATGCTTGTAAGGCTTGGACCCACATTCCCACCAGAGCTATTATTCCCTGAGGATTCATTAAAATCTTCCAAAGGATCTTCGGTGTATTTCATATCAAAACCAAAGATGTCCAAAGGTGGGGGAGGGGGAGTTGAGGCTCTGACAGAGTTATCTTCCACTGTTTTGACCTCTGATTCACCACTAGGTGTCTCTGTAGTGAAGTCAATTGATTGGTACTTCATGTCCACATTAAACAGGTTGACTGGAGGTCCATGTCCTGCCTTAGATTCATCAATATCGATTGAAAACTCCTCAAATGTTGCCTCAGTCATTTTGTTTGTAGGTTTTATACAAACATTCTTTTAAATCTGAAATATATTACGAGAAAAAAGCTAACTATTACTTATCCTAAAAGGGATCAATTATACATTTTCCAGGAAATTTAAAGCAATGGATACACTTAAAGTCTTCTCTACAATAATGGAAACATTTAATATTAGACCATTATAATAGGTCTCTGAATGATAATGTATACATGTTGTACGTATCATATCATATCATGGTAAAATCTTATGGTAAATTCAATATTTATTTTGGGTAGACTTTACTTTACTGGTCTCCAGATCCGTAAGATCCTCGTGCGCATTAGACTATGACGTAACAACTACGTCACTCATATGAAATTGGATAAAATTTTGACACTATTTGACTGATTAGGGATAATGAGTCTTGTACCCACCTGAGAGATTAGGGTTAGTTCTTGCACTAGTGTTCGACTGATAAGGGTTAGTCTCGCATTCATCCGAGAGAATTGGGTTAGTCCTCTCACATTTTTTGACTGATTAGGGTTAGTTTGGCATCTGCCCGGGAGATGCTAAACGTCTAAGTCCTTGCATACAATCCGATGGATTATGGTTAGTGACTCATTCTGTTAGATAAGTTAAAAAATTCAGTTGTTTTTGTAATTTTTTTCAAGATCATAATTCATGCAGCTTCAAAGGCACTTCGTTCGTTTCTTTACATGGAAGAATGGCTAAGTCCGAAAGAAATGACACTAAGCATGTGCTGCAAAAAGAATTATTCTTTGTCTTCCATGTATATTTATTCATTTTTTAATGTAAGAATTTAAAAATGAAGTTTTAAACTAAACTTTTAACCGTTGAATTCGATTTTTGGGTCAAAAGGCCAAAAAATATCCTATTTAATTTTTTTTTTATCACGATCTCATGTATACTGAATTCGCCTTCGTCGACACTAGATTTTAGCGCGTTTTTCTGGGGACCGGTAAAGTAAAGTTGTTCCTTTATTTTTTATTTTTTAAAAGTACTAGTGGTCTTTGTTAAATGAAGTTACACGATTAAGTTGGGCAAAACAACTGTATTCAATGGAAGACACATTAACAACTGTGAACTGAAAAGCATTAAGCAAGTTTAATAATGAAAAAATGTTTTAAAATGGACCTAAAGCCTTTGAATTTGGATAGCTGTAACTAATTTTGAGAAGAAATCTACAGTGTATGCAGGGCGGTGCGTGCAGGTCCAGCACAATACCCCGATAAAGGTATATAGCTTGATAAAGCTATATAGCTTTATCAAATTAAAAATACCTTGATATTTTTATGCACTAAAATTCAAAAAATTCTTTAAAAATTAATTAATGAAAGTCTACTTTTTGTCAGTAAATTCACCCATGGGTTCAAACACAAACAAATCAGTATTCAAACGTGTCGTGTGAGGAGACATTTTATGCCTTATACAGAGTGTACATGCACGAGTAACACACTGCCAAAAATTAGAACTCGACTTTAAATTAATTTTTAAAGAAAAATTAAAAATACCTATCAAGGTATTTTGAATTTGGATAAAGCTATATTTTATCAAGCAATATACCTTTATCAGGGTATTGTGCTGGACCTGGCGTGTGTCCATTAAAAGAAAATGGTAAATTTTTCGGCGAAGATGGTTGCAGCTTGGAACTAACTTGGCTTGAACGCTTATTTTCATTATTCTCGGCATCTAAAAACAGTACTATACAGTCATTGTTTGTGGTAAACGCGGTGGATTTTGAACCGAATTTCCTATGTGATAAAATTTAAAAAATGTGACAAAAAATCCATTGTTTTAACTAAATGAAAGAAGCAATATGTTGAAATAAATTGTTTACTACGTAATGCATATCATTAAAATGATGTTATCCTTAAAATAACACAAAAATATCATTTTTACCTTCGAAGAAAAATAGTTTGTTTACATGGATTTTTTTCTTGAGCAAGTCGTACATAGGTTGAGATTTTAATCAGCTCGTTCATAAATTGAATTTCAATCGACTCACGAATGAGGAGTTTGTCCGCCTCTTTCGGGATTCTCGGTTTTACATACATAGGAATAGGTATTATAACATTGCTAAGATAATTATAAAATAAGACATCTCCCTATTTATGAAAAAAGTGCCCCTCTCTATGACTGCCTATATAAAAAAAAATACACCCCCCCCCCCCCAAAAAAATACTATTGACACAAAATGATGCTTTTTAAATAATTCGATATTCATTATCTAGAGCCACAAACCAATCATTCTCCCATTCTTTATTATTCATGAGCCGATCAAAATTCCATGGGGACGGCCATTTGATTCTGAAAGGGGGAGGGGAGGATTATCTGTCATCGAAAAAGGTGAAAATAATCTATCCCCGAACGGCCAAAAAAGTATATAAATCTGTCCTTGACAAGTGATACTCATCCAGCCAAAATTCCCATAGAAACAGAGTTTTGTAGTTTGTTCGTTTTTTTTAAAAAAAACTTTTTATCAGCGAAGAAGAAAAGGAATTAAATGACATGTCCTTGACTTTATCTTAAATTGTAAATAAATATTAATCTGTCATGGATAAGGGGTGAAGCTAATGAATAGTTATCGATCTCATAAAAAGACTTGGACGCCTGGAAACCCCGGCAGAGGTGGGATCAGGTGTCTCGTCGGAGTAAGCATCCCCTAAATACCCCACCTCTGTTGATTTTTCCGTGAAATCCTGGCTTACGATTGGTTGAACTCTGTCACGTGAAGGCGGTGGATTACTTATACCCGGTCAGTTGTAAATCCATACCCGGTCAGTAAATCTATACCCGGTCGATGTATTACGTCACAAACACAAACATGACGTCATAATAGGCACAGTATAAGCGCGATGAAGCATTTAGCAGGGAAAAACATTTATAAACTACAGATAAAACGTAAATGTTTCATCGGTGGGGTAAATTCGTTACATAGTCATTTAGTGACAGGGTATGGGATGATACCTGGTTAGTAAATTTCATACCTGACTCGGCTCCGCCTCGCCAGGTATGAAATTTACTAACCAGGTATCATCCCATACCCTGTCACTAAAAGACTATGTAACTAATAATACAGATCGGTATACACCGGCCATGAGCCCTGTGTATTGATCGAGAAGACCGCGAACATTCCGCGGTCTCTAGTACTAAAACCATGAGAACATAGACCTAACTGCATGTGCCCTAACATGAGATATGAAACAAGGTACTAGCCAAAATTCTACTCAGTATTAGGTTGCACTTTTTAAGATCATAATAATGACCGCAGAACTCATTATATTTTTTTCCATTATTTGAATTTTAAGCTATTCTTAATTATGGACACATTTTCACTCCTCCAAAGGCGAATAATTTCATCATTTTTTTTAATATGACTTCCACTGGCGAATAAGCAATATAAAATGGATAGGAGTCGGATTTTTCTTAAAAATTAATAAATGATCTTAGAAATAAAATATTACTTTTTTTATACAGTGAATTGACCACGGATTTTCCGTTATTTCCCGATCATGACATGGAGCACATGGCGGGTGTGACCGGTCAGCAGGGAATGCTCACTCCTCCATGGCACCTGATCCCATCTCTGATGTTTTGACGATCTGTGTTCACTATGCTCCTATTTTGTATTGTTTTCTGGACTTTGATTTTGAATACTGTTTGTTATCTCCATATCCTTCATTTTTTTCCATATAGGGTCTTCTTTTCTTAAAGAAAAGGCCATGTATACTGTGCGTTTTTGAAACTTTTGAGTGGTGATGGTTGTGGTGGGGGGGGGGGGGAGCACCAGAAAAAAATTATTTCAGATTAAAAGTGATTGTCGATAGGATCCCTGTCCCCCCCCCCCCCCCCCACACACACACACCAAAAAACACAAAGATGTGTTTGTAAAACACTGATGCCCCCGTATGGCAACATACATAATGAAGCGAAGGATAAGCTTTCTCAAATGCAGATCCATTATATTGGTACCCAAAGTAAGGCCCTTTCACAAGAAATACTAATGTGAAATATAAAACCCTAGTACCACCTGTTCAAAGTTTATGACCAAGGTTAGTGTTTTTAAATGTAAGACAAACTCCAAGGTCAAGGTCAATGGGTCAAGATTCTAACTGGTTTCTAAAGAAAGGCCTTGTTTTATAGATTACATATGGTAAGTATGAAAGCGCTGGCCCTTACCGTTCAAAAGTTATGGCTAAGGTTACAGTTTGTAAAAAGTAGGTCAAACTGCAAGGTCAGGGTCAAAGGGTCAAAGTTGATATCCAATGAAGGTCTTGTCACAAGGATTACATATGTGAAGTATGAAAGCTTAAGCCTTTTTAAAAAATTTATGGCCAAGGTTAAAGTTTGTTAAAAGTAGGTCAGATTGCAAGGTCAAGGTCAAAGTTGTTGATATCCTATAAAAGGTCATCTTACAAGGATTACATATTTGAAATATGAAAATCCTTGCCTTTACCGTTCAAAAGTTATGGCCAAGTTTTTTCTTAAGTACGGAAATCTCCAAGGTTGAGGTCAAATTTGTCGGTTTCAAAAGAAAGGTCTTGTCACAAAAAATTGATACTCGAAATATGAAATTCCTATGGAATTTGGATGTTGTGTTAAAATGGGTGAAACCCAAAGGTCAAAGGGTCAAGATTCTTGTTATCAAATAAATGGTCTTGTCAAAGGGATTAAATATGTGAAGTTTGAAAGCCCTAGTCAACACCCTTCAAAAACTATGGTCAAGGTTGTATTTAAAAAGTAGGTCAAACTCCAAGGTCAAAGGGTCAAAGTTCTTGGTATCCAATGAAGCATCTTAAGAATTCTCACAAGGATTTGTGAAGAATGAAAGCTCTAGCCTTTACCATTCAAAAGTTATGGCCAAGGTTAAAGTTTTTTCATAAGTACGTAAATCTCCAAAATCAAGGTCAAAAGGTCAAGGTTGTTGGTATCCAATGAAAGGTCTTTCCACAAAGAATACATATATGAAGTATGAAAGTCCTAGTTTCTACTGTTCAAGAGATTTGGCTAAAGTAAAAGTTGGAAATATCTGTGTAAAAGTGGGTCAAATTTCTAGGTCAAGGTCAAACGGTCAAATATGGTGGTACCCAAAGAAAGGTCTTGTCACAAGGAATGCACAAGTAAAATATGAAAGACATAGCTCCACTAAATCAAAAGTTATGGGCAAGGTTAAAGTTTTTGCTGACAAACAGACAAACAGAGAGACAGACAGACAGATGGACAGACACGACAAAAACTACATACCCCCGAAACTTCGTTTACGGGGGCATAAAAATAATCAAGACACACTAACACTATTGGCTTTTAAAACCCCTGTCCGTATGAAAATCCACTGTCTTTCTCTGTATCCTACAGCATTTTCACAGTAATCTACGGTATATCTACAGTATGCTACGGTATGCTAGCTCTGTATATACAGTAAATCTCTGTATGCCACTGTATGTATCCCCAGCATGCCACAGTTACATACAGTAGGCCCCGATACGCCTACAGTATGCCACTGTATGGCTACTGTTTCCTACAGACAACTACGGTAAACCCCAGTATATGTCCCAGTATGCCACTGTATATGTTCAATGAAGCAAAAAGAAGAAGTTTACACACTCCCAGAGCACTGTACGGTTACCTAAGATTTGGGATTATCAATAAAGTACACAGAGTTACTTACCTAAGAAATTTTTTAACATTAATTTAAACACATAGTAGTATTTTTTTTTTAATTTGTTGGGAAACTTATTGTGTTCTTTTATTACTCTGAAATAACTATGAAAAATTAATAAACCAATGCTTCAAAGAAAATTTATCTATCAATTTTTAAAATTAATTATTCTTTGGTTTGATTTATTAGTTAATTAATTGATTTATTTATTTTGCGAACTTATTTAATCCATAAAATTGGAGTGACTTTGTAACTTTTGTGAAAAAAAAATGTAGCCGGGGTAAATCTTGGTTTTTTTTTTTAACTTATTGATGTTCTTAAAAACTTTAATCTAATCAATTGCATGTAATCAATCATTGCGTAAAAACTTTTTTTCAATTTCTAAATTGAATATACAAACAAAATTATTAATTGTATACTCGAAAGTTGGATTTATTTGGCTAATTTTATGTAAACAATTTTACGCTAAAATGTGTTTCAAAGTCTTTTTGAAGCATATTTAAATTATTTTTAATTATTTTACTACCGTGTTGGTAATCAAAATAATCGTCTAATTATGCACAATCTTAACCCGTCAATAGCGTTTTGAAACTTTTATTTTGCTTTGTATGAAAAAAAATCGGTTCTCATACAAAGAGATAATGTTATCTAAAGCAGCTGCAGAGTGGACACGGTCGCTCTCTGTCACAAAATAAACAAGGTATAGTGATCAGTGAAAAAGACAATAGGTGTCATTACTGTGTACCCCATGTCGCTGGTAAACAATCATTGGCTTTTAAGTTCTTTCATAATCGTGTTACAGTTTTAAAAACATCTTTTTTCAATCAAATCAAAGTAAAAAAAATATGAAATTGCAATTGACAAATTAAAATTGTGCATCATCTGACGATTATTTTGATATCCATCATGGACGTAAAATAACTGAAATTCGTCTTAATATGCTAAAAAAATACTTTAAAACATAGTTTAGGATAAAAATCTTAATACAAAAAACCCTACAATATCTCTTTTCGGGGGATATAAATAATTAATTATTTCGTTTTATTGTCAATTTAAAAAATATAAATAAAAAGTTTGACATTTTTATGATGATAAATAAATAATTTATTTTATTTATTTACCATTTATTAATTTCTCTAACACCTATTTAATCCATAAAATACTTGGAATGGCTTTTTGTACCTGTTGGAAAAAAAATTATACACACACACACCTTCACAACAAGAGTAATGTTGCTTATTTAAAAAAAACATAGTTTTTAAAATCAATTCAATAATTGATTTTAAATGGTTAGTGAATAAATAGATAAAACGAATTTACAGCACGTATTTAATCATTGTAAAAGAAACAAAATATTTTTCTATTTAATTTTAAAATTGACGATGCAAAAAATTAATTAATTATAATCCCGAAAGTTGGATTTATTTGGCTTATTTAATGTAAACAAGTTTCCGCTAAAATGTCCCTCAAAGTCTTTTTGAAGCATATTGATACTACTTTTAATTATTTTACTTCCGTGTTGGATATCAAAATAATCGTCTCATAATGCACAATCTTAATCCGTCAATAGCTTTTTTGATACTTTTATTTTGTTTTGATTGAAAAAAGAACCGGTTTCTCACAAAGAGAAAATGTTATTTCAAACAGCCTCAGATAGGACACGGTCGCTCTCTGTCACAATATAAACAAGGTATAGTGGTCAGTGAAAAAGACAATAGGTGTCATTACTGTGTACCCCATGTCCCTTGTAAACAATCAATGGCTTTGAAGTTCTTTCATAATCGTGTTAGGGTTTTGAATACCGATTTTTTTAAGTCAAAACAAAGTAAAAATATGAAATTGCAATTGATAAATTAAAATTGTGCATCATCTGACGATTATTTTGATATCCATCATGGACGTAAAATAACTGAAATTCGCTTTAATATGCTAAAAAAATACTTTGTAACGTAGTTTAGGATAAAAATATTTATACAAAAAACCCTAAAAATTTTCTTTTTGAGGGATATAAATAATTAAATATTTTGTTGTATTGTCAATTTAAAAAATATAATTAAAAAGTTTGAATTTTTATGGTGATAAATTAATTATTTATTTTATTTATTTACCATTTATTAATTTCTCTAACACCTATTTAATCCATAAATTACTTGGAATGGCTTTTTTGTACCTTTTAGAAAAAAAAATTACACAAAAACACACACCTTCACAACAAGAGTAATGCTGCATTTTAGAAAATTTTAGATTTTAAAATAAATTCAATAATTGATTTTTAAATAATTAGAAATTAAATAAATAAAACTGATTTTAAGCACGTATTTTATCATTGTAAAAAAACAATTTATTTATTTTTTAAATTGACGATACAAGCAAATTTATTAATTATAATCCCGAAAGTTGGATTTATTTGGCTTATTTAATGTAAACAAGTTTCCGCTAAAATGTCTCTCAAAGTCTTTTTGAAGCATATTGATACCACTTTTAATTATTTTACTTCCGTGTTGGATATCAAAACAATCGTCTCATAATGCACAATCTTAAACCGTCAATAGCTTTTTTGATACTTTTATTTTGTTTTGTTTTGTTTGACAAAAAACGGTTTTCTCACAAAGAGAAAATGTTATTTCAAACAGCCGCAGAGTGGACACGGTCGCTCTCTGTCACAAAATAAACAAGGTATAGTGGTCAGTGAAAAAGACAATAGGTGTCATTACTGTGTACCCCATGTCACTTGTAAACAATCAATGGCTTTGAAGTTCTTTCATAATCGTGTTACGGTTTTAAAAACCGTTTTTTTTTTCAATCAAAACAAAGTAAAAATATGAAATTGCAATTGACAAATTAAAATTGTGCATAATCTGACGATTATTTTGATATCCATCATGAACGTAAAATTATTGGAATTTGTTTTCATATGCTTAAAAAATACTTTGTAGCATATTTTAGGAGAAATAATTTTCATATAAAAATAAAACTAAAAATATCAATTGGGGTGTGTGTATATTTAATCACTTTGTTGTCTTGACAATTACAAAATAAATAAATTATTTTTTATTTAGTTTATTTATCTATCTATTTGTAGATAAATTGATAAACAAATAAATAAATAAGATAAATAATTAGTTCATTTATTAATTTTGTATTTCTAAAGTCATTTATTTTATTTAATTTTCACTTACCCCTTCACGTTATTTATTTTGTGCCGAGTTTACTATGCAGCTCTGTATTTGTCAAGAAATAGATTGATTTGTTTTTAAAATGATTAATGTCATGCCGTTAATTAATTATATTTATTTTTTCAAAGAAACTATATCAATTTTAAAAACTACAATTTTCCAAAATTCAGCATTACCCCGGACGTGTTTTTTTTTTAAAGTTCAAAGTCACTCAGTCAAGTATTTTATGGATTAAATAGGTGTTTGCAAAATAAATAAATAAATAAATTAACTAATAAATCAAACCAAAGAATAATTAAATAATTAGTTTTAAAAATTGATAGATAGATATTCTTTCAAGCAACAATTTATTAATTTTTCATAGTTATTTCAGAGTTATAAAAGAACACAATTAATCTCTTAACACTTTAAAAGAAATACTACCATGTGTTTAAAATAATGTTCAAAAATTTCTTAGGTAAGTAACTCTGTGTACTAAATTGACAATCCCACATCTTAGGTAACCGTACAGTGCTCTGGGAGTGTGTAATTTTCTTCTTTTTGCTTCAATGAACATATACAGGGGCGTACTGGGGCATATACTGTGGTTTACCGTAGTTGTCTGTAGGAAACAGTGACCATACAGTGGCATACTGTAGGCGTATCGGGGTCTACTGTATGTAACTGTGGCATGCTGGGGATAAATACAGTGGCATACAGAGATTTACTGTATATACAGAGCTAGCATACCGTAGCATACTGTAGATATACCGTAGATTACTGTGAAAAGGCTGTAGGATACAGAGAAAGACAGTGGATTTTCATACGGACAGGGGTTTTAAAAGCCAGTAGTGTAACCAACACTTTGCAAAATAAGTTAACAACAAAAACATTGTTACATGTACGTATAATATATTTTACTTTAAGTTTCATGAATCATGATCAGCATATTCAGTAAATCATTCAGAATAATTTGTAAAATCAAATAAAAAATAAATAATTATATATATTAAATGTTTATATCATTCAATATACAAACAGGTTCATAGACATAGAGATCAATGTTTTGTGATCCTAAACGTGTTTTTAATATCAAACTCATTCTATATTAATGCCTATGATTTTATGCCTATGATTATATGCCTATATTTTGGTATCAAGACTCCTGGTCACATTTGAGTGTTTTCTGAACATCGTCTGAGGTAGAAATAATCACAAGTTTATCACGCGCACGGGTTGCCAAGCTGAGGATGAATTTATTCAAATCGGCGTGTTCTGGATTGACCTTTGGATCCACCCCGACAATTGTCCCTCGATCTAGTCCACTGAACTCCTTCACCGTGTCTACTTCTACTCCACGATTTGTGTTCTCTGTCAGTGGCATCACGTCTGCTGTGATTTCTGGCTTGTCTTGTTTACTCCCAACAAGTACAGCCAAATCGTTGACACTGACTCCACTGTCGATAATATTAGAGATGACTTGGAAGAGTTTCTCTTTCAGATGTTCTTTGTCACACTTGAGAATTTCTACAGATTGTCCTGAACTGTATTCATGACCAAGATGAGGCGAGCTTTCAATCTCTCTTAGATCTTCTGGTGATATTTTTTTTACATTGATGGGGCCATTCATGAAGTGCTGGGCATATTCAAAGATCTCCTTAGAATTACGGGTTATTTCGCTCATCATGAAATTGTTTTTTCCAATCACAGAGGGAAGACCAGCATCATATTTGTGAACTTTCTGGGTGTAATCCATGAATACCCAGAAGAATCCATCTTTCTCTAGATGATTTGAGCTGGTCGGCTGCAGTGAGGAATTTTCCAGTGGTTTGGTCAAACGTTCTGCTGCACTGTACCAGTCTCCATCTCTATCTTTGAAATTTTGTGCCTCGTCTACGATGACATTTTTGATATCCCTGAAAGTGTCATCACCGGCATTCATGAAGTCACGACGTGTGGACACCTGGCATATTTTGAAAGACCTGAAATAATAATAAAATTGATTTTAGTAAAGAAATCATCATTCACCCCCTAGTAATCATGGTTGGCATTATAAATGCTTAATATGCATTGAGAAGTATCAATAATACTAGCATCGTACATCTTATCACAAATTCAGATAATTTTTTTTTGTAATTCTCAGATTACCCATCTCAATTGTACCCATGTGTTTACTTTTCATGGACTACACTTTTGTTATGCTCTCTACTTCTAAGATTTGATTCTGGAATCTTACCTGACATATGAGCAGAGAAGTTCATTCTCAGCTAGGTACAGGATTTCTTTTGTCTGTGACCCTCTACGTTTTAGCTCTTGAACAAACTGGACAGCTGCTACTGTTTTCCCACCACCAGGAGGACTGTGTACCCACAATTCCTTAGTAAACTGCTGCGTAAATAGCAGTTGAAACTGATCACAAGTGAGCATAAAAAAGTAAGAGTCCTGAGACATAATATTTTCCACAGTGGTCGTATTTAGGGTTGTAAAATCTACAGGTTGGTAAGCAGCCATTGTAACAATGAGTGAGTCAATCACACTGTCAAATTTCTCTGAGGACATATCGAAATGAGAAGGGTAGAACCGCCTTTCAAAATTGCCTTTAACATCTGAAAAATTTTTAACATTGATGATATGTGTGGTAATACCAAATTTGAAAACACATCCACCGAGGGCCACCATCTTGTATTTGAGATGGGCAGCCACATCATGTGTATGAGTCCAAATGGCATTGGATTCTGAGGTAGCAAAGGTGATTAAGTGACACCCACGGGTCTCACTGACAATGAACAAATCGCAGGTCACTTTGGGGAGGGGTGGCAGTGGAACGGACAGCCCCCAGCAATTAACAAAGAGGGATAGATGTCTCCCTCCAGAAAACAGGTCCACAACGGAGCAGATGACGTCCCTAGTGTCCAGGCAATCAATGGTGGTCAGGTAGTGGTGAGGCTGAGCAAACTTCATTGATTTCTCTGCAAAGGAATGCAAAGTTAATTTTTTTTTCAATGTATGCTATGCCAATTAAGAACAATTAAAAAAGCTCTATGCTGCTCAACTTTCACAGCTATTAAGGATTAAAATAATGCACTTTGTACAATACCCTGTTAGTTCTATTTAAAGTATTATAACCAGCAAACCTGTAAATAATTTGGCCTTTATGCTGTTTATTGTGTGTTTTAAGGAGAAAACCAGGGGTGCCTGAGGTACTGTTAGGGGAAGCTTGATGAAGCGTCCATGTAACTCTGGCTTATCTGAAAATTTACATAAAACAGTTGAAACATTTATTAAATAAATTCAATTTTACTTAACATGCTTAAGCATTATAAATGTTTCCTTGGAATTTGAGCGATAGTATCAATGATTTATAAATCTGTTAAAAACATGAATTTATTATCTAAGATTATATTCTTTGCTATTTATTTTTTCGCAAAGGAAGTTCCCATTTTAGATTCTGGTGAGCATTGTAGTCATTTGTTCTCCTTTGCAATATTCCCTTTACTAGGTTTCATTGACATCTCCAAAATCTAGCTGTCATTGCAATATTGGGTATTAAATTTGAAGAAAGAGAGTGACTAGAACATTTTTATGAAGTGCATTTTCCAGAATTCCCTCTGAATCTCCCATGATTTACCTCTGAATGGGTTCAGCATTGCTTTCTTCCATTGGTCAAATGTCCAGCAGTCCACAGTCTGGGTATTGGTGTTGACATAGTAACTATCTGGGGTGGCAGAAAACACGCCGCCAGGAAATTTACAAACAGACACCACAACTACTACTCGAGGATTCTGTGGGGAAAAAATCATCATCATGCATGAAATAATTTTGTTCCTTTAAATTATACATGTAGATGTGTAAAACTATCATATTTGAACTTTTATATATTGAAGGCAAGAAAAATGTTTACCATTTATATTTGAAGTCAGGAATACATGTACCATTTTATGAGGCACATTTAGCACTGGGAAGAAGTGAATGTCCCACTGTATCCCTCTCTGGGCACTGAAGGAGGAACTCCCCCAAATCATGACATCCATCTTCAACTGGACCAGCTTTACTGAAATTAGAAGACTTATAAATGAATAGTGTCCATACAAATTGAACAAGATATCAATAAATAAATTGAGAGCTGAAAATAAACTGATGTTCTAAAGATGCTGGTAAAATTAAAAAGAAAATTTTTCTCATGGATACAAACATGTACTTTGTCTCACAGATATTTTAACACACACACATGATCAATTTGTAGAGTTACTGTTTGATATAAGGTACTGCATGTTAAGTTTGATATAAGGTACTGCATGTTAAGTTACCTGTTCTCTCTTGTTCCTGATAAGTCATCTCTTCTCCGTAAACAGCAGCCTGATCATCATCAATCCCAAAATAGATGTGTCCTCCCTCATGATTGGCAAAGGCTGTCACATATTTTGATATCAGGGTCCTGATTTTATCTGGGGTTCCTTTTCCATCTCTTGAATATCGACTTGACAGCTGTTTGAATTGAATTTGCTTAGTCTCCTGTTTAAGATGCTCATTTGTAGCACCATATTGGAAGTTTGTAGGGATGGATGGGAGGGCCGAGAGGGGTTTTCCCGATTCATCTTTTTGGAGCAGTTTAATCACGGACTGGTAACTGACTTCGTGTGTAGCTGTGTCAGTGGGTAAACGGGAATGATAGTCTATTGTACAGATATGCTCGGCAGACTTAATAAAAAGGTACAGATCAGCGTCATCGTAATTTCCCACCATGTCAAAATAGTTACAAATGTCATCTGATGAGATCATTTCAGCTAGCTTTATCTCCATTCCACTCCACCAGATATCTAAATCTTTGGAACAGACGCCACTTTTGTAATCTTCATTCTTCATGTGGAGTATACCTCCACCACTATTGGCAATTCCACATGCATAGCGTAAAACCACATCATTGTCCAATTCATGGATTCCTCGAGATATGTGGATACTGCAGTGGAGAATGCACTCCCCATAACGATGAAGATTTGATGTTCTTTATTTGAAAGTCAAAAATTAAGAAAGCTATAATTTAAATACAAACATTGTCAACTGAATGTGAAACTTAGAATTCACTGACCATTTATGTTTAAACAAGATTTTAAACAGAAAATTATATATGCAATATATATATACGTACATGTCATGTGTAGAGAGTCCAAAAATGTCTGTAGACATTTTTTGTCTTTTAATTTTTTTCATCACTGAATTGCATGCTGAGTATCATTGCTTTGAGAGCACATTTTGGGACAAGTTGGAAATTTGAATTTTGTGCAGTGCCAAAATTTATAAAAACAAATCAAAATTTATGAAATCATTCAATGCCATGACTCTCTGCAAAAATTAAGACAGAAAGTATTTTGTAAACAAACAAAGGAAACGGGATAGGGCGCTGCCATTTTACCGGATATTCAACGGGAGAGTTTATTGAAGGAAAAAAGTTGAGTTTAGGGCTATGCTTTTCGTCATTTTTTTTCATAAAAAGATGTTTTATAATCCGTTAAATATCGTTTCAAATCTTTTATTATGAAATTTGAAATAATAAATATCGGTATGGTGAAGTCCTAATCACGAAAAAATATTTTGTTTTTAATAGTGTTGCCTCCCTGAAGCTCTTTAATGTTGAAGGTAAGAAAATACTATTGTTGACATTACTTTCACTTTCACGCCAGTTTCAGGTTCAATAGTTTGCGTAAATAACTGTAAGAAATGGATATTCTTTAATATATAGATGGATTTTTTATAGTTAAGATTCAAGCCTTAAGAGATAGATTTATAATTACCATTTTGTATAGAACAGCAGCTTCCGGTTTGATCTGTTAAGCACTAAACAACTGCTAAAGGACATAGGTCACGATACACCTGTACACTGAAAGGTTTGTTGAACAGCTGTCGTTGAAGGTTTTTATGACATTTGCATGTGATAAAATATCATTATATCCACCCATTTCAGATAAAATTGAATGGATAGAGGCGATCTCGGATGCAAATAATACGAAGTGTAGATACACTTAACAAAACTTCTAAGTGTTCACTTTAATAAATGTATTTATTTACAAACTACTTGATAGAATGGTATGATATTTTGGCATTATCCTGTTATTAGCATCGCGATGCGAATAATTTTTGACGTTGTTGACGTTGTTGACGTAAATAAAATTATAATTTTGCGAGCTTAGAAATAAAAATTTAGTCTTTAAACAACAATATTTATGGATTTTATGCTTATTCCGTTAATTCCCACTCTCTGTCATCGGCTTATAAATACATAAGTCATGTCTGACAGAGGAACGAAAGACAATTCCGCATGGTTACTTCCGTGATATTTTTTTAAATAACCTTATTCTCAAGTACGGTATAAAAAAATAATGCATTTTTGATAATTCGGAATAAATGTCTTCATAAACAAAACTATAAATTATATAATTAAAAAATTCAATATATATATACTTTATTTTGTTATAAATGAGTTGAGATAAATATATAACGGAATAAATGTCTTCATAAACAAAACTATCAAAATTTAATATATGAACTTTATTCCGTTATAAAAAAAATAGTTGAGATAAATGTATTAACGGAATAGATGTCTTCACAAACAAAACTATACTGCAAAATTCAATATATACACTTTATTCCGTTAAAAATAAGTTGACATAAATATATTACTGAATAAATGTCTTCATAAACAAACTATCAAATATCAATATATGCACTTTATTCCATTATAAATAAGTTGAGATAAGCATTTAACGGAATAAATGTCTTCATAAACAAAACTATCAAAATTCATTATATGTACTTTATTCCGTTATGTAGAAATAAGTTGAGATAATTGATAACGGAATAAATTCCAAGGTCTTCAAAAACAAAACTTTCAAAATTCAATATACCCCGGATGGTATGCACTTTAGTTTACTGTCTTCATATACGGAATAAAAGCTATCCATTGCTATTACATGTAAATGCACAATACATTTTAGTACTCTCATTTATTCTTTTTCTGATCAATTTCATTCATAAAGTAACATATTTAAAATTTTCATATCGGATATTTTATTTCTGCACGGATTTCAATGTACAACGTATTCCAGAACAGGTTAGGAAGTAAAAGTCCTTTGTTTGTACGTTGCGTGACAGTGTAAAGAAATCCCGCACGCTTCAGTACAGATAGAACATTGAGGAGTCGCTCATCACGATCGTCTACTACACTTTTAAGATAACTGAATGCATTGTGAAACCAAAAAAAGTTGTAATCTTCTCTCTTTTTGATATTCTTCTTGATATTTGGAAACGTCGTCTCCCTATATATACTCCTGTTATTAGCATCGCGATGCGAATTAGTTTTGAGGTATTAAAATGTTCTTCGTCTCTCTATATATACTCCTGTTATTGGCATCGCGATGCTAATTAGTTTGGAGGTATTTTATCCATTAAAACGTGTCATTTTAAGAGTGATCCCCCCAAAAAAGCCAAGCCCCATTTTTTTCTGATGGTATCCCCCAAAGAAACCCTTTTCTCGGGAATACTTCCCTTTGTGGAGCTTATTATCTTGATATTTGGAAACGTCGTCTCTCTATATATACTCCTGTTATTAGCATCGCGGTGCGAATTAGTTTTCAGGTATTTAAATATCCCTCGTCTCTCTATATATACTCCTGTTATTGGCATCGCGATGCTAATTAGTTTGGAGGTATTTTGTTCATTAAAACGTGTCATTTTAAGAGTGATCCCCCCAAAAAAGCCAAGCCCCATTTTTTCTGATGGTATCCCCCAAAGAAACCCTTTTCCCGGGAATACTTCCCTTTCTGGAGCTTATAATCTTGATATTTGGAAACGTCGTCTCTCTATATATACTCCTGTTATTAGCATCGCGATGCGAATTAGTTTTCAGGTATTTAAAATGTCACTCGTCTCTCTATATATACTCCTGTTATTGGCATCGCGATGCTAATTAGTTTGGAGGTATTTTAAGCAGTAAAACGTGTCATTTTAAAAGTGATCCCCCCAAAAAAGCCAAGCCCCATTTTTTTCTGATGGTATCCCCCAAAGAAACCCTTTTCCCGGGAATACTTCCCTTTGTGGAGCTTATAATCTTGATATTTGGAAACGTCCTCTCTCTATATATACTCCTGTTATTAGCATCGCGATGCGAATTAGTTTTGCGGTATTTAAAATGTGACTCGTCTCTCTATATATACTCCTGTTATTGGCATCGCGATGCTAATTAGTTTGGAGGTATTTTAAGCAGTAAAACGTGTCATTTTAAAAGTGATCCCCCCAAAAAAGCCAAGCCCCATTTTTTCTGATGGTATCCCCCAAAGAAACCCTTTTCCCGGGAATACTTCCCTTTGTGGAGCTTATAATCTTGATATTTGGAAACGTCCTCTCTCTATATATACTCCTGTTATTAGCATCGCGATGCGAATTAGTTTTGCGGTATTTAAAATGTCACTCGTCTCTCTATATACTCCTGTTATTGGCATCGCGATGCTAATTAGTTTGGAGGTATTTTAAGCAGTAAAACGTGTCATTTATAATGATCCCCCCAAAAAAGCCAAGCCCCATTTTTTCTGATGGTATCCCCCAAAGAAACCCTTTTCCCGGGAATACTTCCCTTTGTGGAGCTTATAATCTTGATATTTGGAAACGTCCTCTCTCTATATATACTCCTGTTATTAGCATCGCGATGCGAATTAGTTTTCAGGTATTTAAAATGTCACTCGTCTCTCTAAATATACTCCTGTTATTGGCATCGCGATGCTAATTAGTTTGGAGGTATTTTAAGCAGTAAAACGTGTCATTTTAAGAGTGATCCCCCCAAAAAAGCCAAGCCCCATTTTTTCTGATGGTATCCCCCAAAGAAACCCTTTTCCCGGGAATACTTCCCTTTCTGGAGCTTATAATCTTGATATTTGGAAACGTCCTCTCTCTATATATACTCCTGTTATTAGCATCGCGATGCGAATTAGTTTTCATGTATTTAAAATGTCACTCGTCTCTCTATATATACTCCTGTTATTGGCATCGCGATGCTAATTAGTTTGGAGGTATTTTAAGTCCAGTAAAACGTGTCATTTTAAAAGTGATCCCCCCAAAAAAGCCAAGCCCCATTTTTTTCTGATGGTATCCCCCAAAGAAACCCTTTTCCCGGGAATACTTCCCTTTGTGGAGCTTATAATCTTGATATTTGGAAACGTCGTCTCTCTATATATACTCCTGTTATTAGCATCGCGGTGCGAATTAGTTTTCAGGTATTTAAATATCCCTCGTCTCCCTATATATACTCCTGTTATTGGCATCGCGATGCTAATTAGTTTGGAGGTATTTTGTTCATTAAAACGTGTCATTTTAAAAGTGATCCCCCCAAAAAAGCCAAGCCCCAATTTCTTCTGATGGTATCCCCCAAAGAAACCCTTTTCCCGGGAATACTTCCCTTTCTGGAGCTTATAATCTTGATATTTGGAAACGTCCTCTCTCTATATATACTCCTGTTATTAGCATCGCGATGCGAATTAGTTTTGCGGTATTTAAAATGTCACTCGTCTCTCTATATATACTCCTGTTATTGACATCGCGATGCTAATTAGTTTGGAGGTATTTTGTTCATTAAAACGTGTCATTCTAAGAGTGATCCCCCCAAAAAAGCCAAGCCCCATTTTTTCTGATGGTATCCCCCAAAGAAACCCTTTTCCCGGGAATACTTCCCTTTGTGGAGCTTATAATCTTGATATTTGGAAACGTCCTCTCTCTATATATACTCCTGTTATTAGCATCGCGATGCGAATTAGTTTTGCGGTATTTAAAATGTCACTCGTCTCTCTATATATACTCCTGTTATTGACATCGCGATGCTAATTAGTTTGGAGGTATTTTGTTCATTAAAACGTGTCATTCTAAGAGTGATCCCCCCCAAAAAAGCCAAGCCCCATTTTTTCTGATGGTATCCCCCAAAGAAACCCTTTTCTCGGGAATACTTCCCTTTGTGGAGCTTATTATCTTGATATTTAGAAACGTCGTATCTCTATATATACTCCTGTTATTAGCATCGCGGTGCGAATTAGTGTGATGGTATTTTAATTATTTTTTTCCTCTAAATATTACTTCCAACAATTTAAAATCATTAAATATTGTAAAATTAACTCATTTTACGCTTCTGACGTTACGTAAAATAACGTCAAAAAATTATTAGCATCGCGATGCTAATAACAGGATAATGCCGATATTTTCAAATTTTTACAATAAATGAGTCTTCTAAACAATTGTAGAAAAAAAATTCAATATCATCGATGAAAACCAATGTTCCATGACGAAGTTTAAAAACAATAAATCTGTAATTTGCGGCACGTGTTTTGTGTAATAAGCATGTTTTTGTGGTCATTATCAAATTTTTAAAACTGGTTTCACTAAAAAACACAAAACATTGGCAAAATAACCATTGAGATAGATGGGAGAGCCATTGGAATGTTGATATCTGGACCATCTTTGCACCACGTTTTACTCACTTTTATTTTAGTGCTTAATTGTACTTGTTATTACTTTTAAAAATTATGAAACAGTATCAAAACCCATTTAAACACATTTTTCTATAGGCTGTGCTCATTTTTCAATCATTAATTTATCACAATTTGAAAGTTTTTGACAATATTCATGATATTTAACCACATCGGAAGTGACCTTTATCTTCTTCTGAGGAGAAAACTTCGCGCCACACCAGGTTAAAAGAGTGTTAAAGTGTTCTGAAAAAATCTTAGAAACATGGAAACAAACTATTTCAATCGTTTGGAAATGATAAGAAATCGGTGCTCGTGGCAGTCTTATATCACCTCAAGCACTCTGAATTATTCTTAAAGCAGCGCACTTATGTGCTAAACACCCAAGAATATTGACCAAAAGGCATCTGTGTGACGATACACTGTCAAATTCCCGGAGCTGAATCCCTTTGAACACATTTGGGATTTTAAAATAAATTTCAAAGCGCCCCCCCCCCCCCCCTTTTCCTCACAATTTCAATGTTTTGGAAAGATCTATGCAGAACATGTAAGTGTGGCAGCAGATGGGTCAATCTTCTATTCAAGTGTACATGGTATCCAACAATAAAGATTGTCTTGTAGTAATTAGAGCGAGTAGAGGGTCTTACTCCATCGAGATTTTATTGTGTGAATTTTTATTTTGACGGTACATCATTTCCTGGACATTTTGCTTAAAATTCTGACGAGAAACTTACATGAAATTTACGCAACATCGAACTTAAAATGTATCATTAACCAAGAATTAAAGGAATTATTTATTGTTTGCATTAGTTCTTTAAAACTTCAAAAATGTTAGGTGAACACTTAGAAGTTTGGTTCAGTGTAGACTAATTAACTTTTGGTATCCAGGTTCTGGGAACAGGAAATAGCAAAGAAAATGAATAAATGTAAATGAAACACTTAGTCCATCTGTATAAAAAAAACTCCACTGGAATGGCTAAAATTCACCCCCACTGAACAGGATGGTGAAGAAATACACAGAAATTTACATTTTAGTCAAACATTTTTAAACAGAACAATTTTTTAAACATTGAGGTATTATTCAAATTTGCTGTTTAAAACATTTGTCATAATTCATGTGATGTACATCTCATTATACAGATGGCAGGGATAGATTATTGCACTGTTTTACCATCCTGGGACTTTGACAAAGATCCAGCGACAATTGTAGAGTACTACTTCGGACAAGAGTTCAGGTGTGTGAAATTGAAATAACAAATTATGTTTGTAGTGAAGCAGATATAACAAAAGCATGTTATGAAAATCTCACTATGTTTGCTCCTATATAATCTGTGCTTTTTGCTTCCCCTTTCCTCAGTATTTTTTGTCTCCAGTGTATTTTTTTATAAACATTTCTAGCTCACAAACAGATGATAATGATGATGATAGAAGTGGACAACAGCCCTGTCAAGATATCAACCCGAGAACCTTCCTCCAGCTGACCAGCGTGGAGGGGGAGGAGGTCTGTACCGTGACCTTGACCTGTAAACCTCAGTACCACATCAGCATCTGTGGGCTCCATGTGTTCAGTCAGGCGAGACTGATGGAGATCTACGACGCCAGTGAGGGGTACCTGAAGACCGTGAGGGGGCAGAGAGTGAGGATGATGGGGGACGATGAAGGGGGGGAGGATTCAGAGGTGGTGTACAAGTGTAGGACGTCACTGGACACGTGTTATGGACTAACCATCAAGGTGATATTATTACAAAGTTGTTTTTTGTTATTGTTTACATCAGCTGATGTGGATACTCAAAATTTCTAAAGAACTTTTGGACAATTTGAAATCACAAGATTTTACCAAAATCAAAAGCTTAAAAACTTATGACTTTTCAACTTTTTACACAACCATTCCCCGCGATAAATTAAAGTCCAGGCTTTTTGATGTCATTGACAGCTGCTTTTTTAATAAAAATGGAACTCGTAAATTTACTTATCTGGTCTTTGGTCATTTGCAAAATTACTTTGTTAAAACACATTCTGATTGCACACACAAGTACTCTGAGGTTGATATCAAAGAGATGCTTGAGTTTCTGATTGACAATATCAGAGTTCTTGAAATCTTTTTTCCACTGTCAGTCATTTGAACTGACTGCCACAGGAAGTTTATCGGTCCAGACAGATTTCTATCAGTCCAACAAAATAATAAAACATAATTTGTGATTAAAATCTTATTTGAATTTTATTAAACACTATACATGTGGCCTTAAACACACTTACTTCATGCGAATTTGATCATCGTATAACAAATGTCAATTTCCAATGGTAATTTTCCAGAGGTTTTTAATCTTAGTTTGATATATCCACCTGGCTAATACCTTATCGGATCAAAAACTTGTTTAAACAATTAATCACATCATAGTTTGATACTTGCGATATTTTACTTGAAAAAGATATTAATGGTAAACGTAACAACCATGCTCGGTTGATAAACATAATGACTTTAACTTTTCTATCGTCAAGTTGCTTTACTTATACAATATACCTTCATCACCTGCACACAGAACGTATATATATCTCAGTTGTTTCGATACGCAAGAGCATGTTCTACGTATGAACAATTTCTAAAACGAATAAATTATTTTTTGAGAAGCAAGTCTTCCAACAATCTATTGAATTCCCATGGGTACCAATTTAAAGTCATTATTTCAGACCTATTTTTATATTCATATGAAGCAGACCTTGTGCAAAATCAATTTATCATTGAGTCAAACACTTGCTGTGGCCTTCAACTAACTTTTAGATATATATACATCGAATGTCAATTAACAATGGTAATTTCCATGTTTTTACCTGATCATGACATATATCACACGACTTGATATAAAAGATCAGCAGGGGATGACACATCTGTTTCATGGCACTTCCCACCTCTGATATTTTACTTGAAAAAGATGTTAATGGTAGTCTAACAATTTTGCTATTGTTTAATGGACTTTGATGACTTTAACTTTTGTTATCTCCATTCCTTATTATGCAGCAATATACCTTTTCAGTGGATTTTCAGAGTATATATATACAACAGTTATTTGATCACCATGAGCTGTATTTGTCAAGACTGTCCTTAACATACCAATAAATTAATCTAAAATAATAAATGAGTTATCCATCTTTAAAGTCATAATTTTGTAAGTTTTATGGTCGAAACAATGACCTTGTCAGCAAATACAATTTATCATTGAGTCAAATGCTGACTGATGTTTTTCATACTAATTATTAGTCCATTATTTATACATGGAAGTGACAACGATTATGGTTTTTAGGTGATCTATGACAAAGCACAACATGTGAAAGGTCAAGGGTTATGCTCACAGGTCCATGGCATCTGACAACATTCTGATGTTTCGGAGGTCCAGTGGGCTGATGCTCCATTTTGTATTGTCAAATGGACTTTGAGATTTATCCATATTTTAAATGGGACATATTTTTTAAATACATTTTGACATATGGTGTGTTTTAGTGGATTTTCTTGTATTAGCATATTATACAAGTTAGCCAAGTCACCATGAACATTTGTCAGACTGTATTTAAAAAATTGATATAAAATAATTTGATGTATTTATCCATATATTTACATCCACTGAATATTTTCTCATTTCAGTTTCCATATTGAGTTCATCACTGCATAAACTACAGTAGGCATGTCGCCTGTACAAATTTCTTAATCAGTTGTTGTTCCATCACACCCCGAAACGAAGAAGATTATGGTGGAGGTCATCATTCAATATAATAATCAATCTTTATTAATCCTACTTTAAATGATTATTTAAACAGATATAAATATAAACAAATTTCAGCAGGTAAGATTTGTCTGTTTTATCCATATTTTAAATGGGACAGAAAGTTTTTTAAATACATTTTGAATTTAGTGTGTTTTAATAGAGTTTTTTTCAACATAGAATATTATACAAGTTAGCCAAGACCATAACATTTGCAGAATCTATTTAAAAAATTGATATAAGTATAGAATTTGAGTGTATTTTACATCCATGTACGTGCATTCACATGAGTTCTTCATTGCTTAGTATCATTTACATGCAAATGTTAGTTGCTATTGACAATGAAAATACATTTTTTTGTATATAACATAGGGCTATTAAGGCAGTGAACAAAAATCAATTCTTTGTTACTTTTAAACAGTTAAAATACAAAATACTGAGTAATATAAGATATTTTTGCAGTTTGCACCTGTTTTTAATCCGTTAATTAAACAAACATCATATACATGAATATTTTCCATGAAGTACTAACTAGAAGCAATAACATTTTGTTTGATGTGCACCTCAATAACATTCAAACTCTTAAAACATTCGTTAATTATCCAACCCAAAGCACAATTTATTGCTAAATCTTTATGGTTGCTTTGATATTTTATCTAGAATCAGAGGGCTTCGATGACTGGAATACACAGTCTTCTTGGCCAGCAGCCTTCCTCTACAGGGTCCCCACTAGGAATGATGGGATTGATGTCAATGCTTTCTCAAATGGGAATAAGGTCCAATCAACTTCCGGGAAAAACAAGCAACAACCAATCAAATTCAAACAATTTATCTCAAATGGGAAGCAGGTCCAATCAGCTTCCAGAACAAACAAGGGGTAGCCAATCAAATTCAAATAATTTGTCTCAACAAAGAACACAAGGTCAGTCTGGGAATTCAAATGAGAGTGACTCTTCTGATGTATTCTCTCTACTGCATAACATTTGTGGTAGAGTTTCTGGATTGCGAGCGGAGGAAAAAAGGAAAACAGAAGAAGCAGAGGAGACGAAGAGGAGGGAAGAAGAAAAAGCGAAGGAAGAGAAATCACAATCAGTAGACAATGCTTCAGGAAATACAACGGACGCAAATATTCCAGAGGAAATAAGGTGGGTATTAAAGCTTGTAGTTTAATGTTATTTTGTTATTTATAAACTGTTCTTTGATAAAGGAGTTGAAATAAGTGTGAAAAACAAAACAAATACAAGGTAGAGGGTTTGGATTCTGCTGTCAGCAAACAGAAATGTGTGAATTCATACTGTGGTTTCATTGATATTCATTGAGCACCAATTTTCGAGGAATTCGTTGTTGAGCATATGCATGAAATTAAATGTTCATTTAATTGAGAAATGTGTTATTCATTTGTATAGACAATGCTTTTGTCCATGAAATTAAGTATCCTATGTTTTACAAAATCATGGAAAATTGATGACAACGAAAATTGATGAAACCACAGTATTTAAGGAGGCTGGGGGTCAACAAATTAACCACAGATTAACCGCCAGATTTCACTTATTGTTTTAGATATGGTATCTTAACCTGTCAACTATTTTTTTTCACAAATTTTATGAAAATTTTATCATTTTTGTATATCTTTATATGGACCCCAAATAATCGCTCCTCAAAAAAATACCCCACTATACATTATCATGAAAAAAATATAAGAGAAAGAAAACTTAGAATAACTTAGTGAGTGTTAAGAATTGGTATTTTATTGCAGAACCACAACTAAAAAAACTTTTCAATTAAACTTTATTTTCAGAAACCAAGATACAGATTATGAACATTCAAACCTTATGAATAAGAAATTAGAGGACCTTGAACAAAGACTTCTGAGTCATGTAGACTCTAAACTTAGTGAGATGGAAAAACGTATTAACTCAAGACTTGACGAAATCTTAAAATTACTTCAGACCAGAGATGCCATATCAACAACAGAATCCTGACACAGAGCACTGAGACTTATATTTTCTGTGAAATTTCTTTTAAGTTTAATGGTTGTCAAATGAAAGCCAGGCATTATGTTTTCTTAGGACCTAACCTTTGAAAAAAAATTCTTTATTATTTTATTTAAAATTTTCCTACAGTTTTTGTAATCATGCTTTAGAGTGATGTGAACAATATACAAAAGTTTTGATGATGGTTAATTATATCAGTTTAAAATCTCAGATTCTTTGTCCAGATTTGTGATTGATAAATATGTATTTACTCGATTTTACTCAAAGAAGTGAAATATATTCAATTTAAAAAAAAACAAATTGATGGTATTCTTTTGCTAACATTTTTTTTTATTAGTTTGAAGTGTTCTTTGAAGTAACAAAATAAAATAAAAAATGTTTACATCAAAATTAAAGTTCTGTAAAAATATGATCTCTTTAAAATCAAAACAACATGAGAAGAACTTCAACTTGACATTTAGATATACTGATGACTTTTTTTTCAATTAACAGTAGTTACTTTCTTTCATATTGTGGACTTCATAAATACCAGTGAATTTGAAATTAAAGATACCATAGTTTCAAAATCTTGTTTCATATTTGGATATTTACTGGAAAATTATGTTGATGGTAAATCAACAACAAAGCTTTGTGATAAACAAGATGACTTTCACATTTTAATCATCAGCTACCCTAACTAATGCAGCAATATACCCTTTTCACCTCCATATGGAGTTTTTGTCTCCATCGGTTTGGTATGCAAGAGTATACTTCATGAACAGACAAGTTCTAAAACATAGCAATCTATTGACAAACAAGTTGACGAAACAAGAATATCAACATTCTCATTTAAAGTAATCATTTTGTACGTTCTATGGTCGATACATTGTCCTTGTCAGCAAATATAATCATTAAATGGAATACTGACTGACGTTTTTCATACAAGTTATTAGACCATTGTTTTCACGCTGAATTCACAGTCTGCGGAGTTTTCTTTTTCCGTTTTCCCATCTATGACAAAGAGCACAAGGAGCAAGTTGGACTCTTGTCGACAGCGGATGCTCGATCCTCCAATGCTCCCGTTCCGTATCTGATGTTTTTAAGTGGTATTAACGAAATCCATTCCTCACTTATACTTGTTTGCAAAATTTATATGTGACTTATAAGTTACTAATAAGTGGATTTGCACTTATAAGTTTCCCCAAGGGAAGGCAATCTAATGACAAACAAGTTGACTAGTATTGTTTTTCGTCCTTGTCGGCAAATATATTCATTAAATGGAATACTGTTTTATGCGGAATTCCCCAGGCCTGATGATTTTAGGGACTGTGTTTGCTTTGCCCCCATGACTAGTATTGTTTTACGTCTAAGTTTTATGGCCCCCAGGCCTGATGTTTTTAGGGACTTTGTTTGATTTGCCCCTCACGACTAGTATTGTTTTACGTCTAAGTTTTATTGCCCCCAGGCCTGATGTTTTTAGGGACTTTGTTTGATTTGCCCCTCACGACTAGTATTGTTTTAAATACTTTAAACAGACGTTTGAGCTCGATCACTATTCATTATCTCCATATTTTAATAAGAATGAAACATGGAAATAACAAACAGTATTCAAGATCAAAAGTCTATACAACAACATAAAAAATAGGAGCAGAGCAAACACGGACCTCCAAAACAAGTGCCATGGAGGAGTGAACATCTCCTGCATACCGACCGGTCACATCCACCGTGTGCTCCTTGTCATGGTCGGAAAATATGTAATGGAAAGTCCGTTGTCAATTCAGATTATAAATAATGGACTAACAATTAGCATGAAAAAAGTCAGTCAGCATTTCACTCAATGATTAATTGTATTTGCGAAAAGGTCATTGTATCGACCATAGAACTTACGAAATGATGACTTTAAACTAGACTGTGGATATTCTTGTCAATCATTAACCTCATTTTAGAAACTATTCATACGTAGAGCATGCTCTTGCGTATCGAATCAGAAAGAGATATAAACTCCGTATGCAGGTGATGAAGGTATAATATTGCTGCATAAGTAAGGGAAATTAACAATTGTAAAGTTAAAGTCTTCACGTTTATCATAGAGCTTGGTTGTTAGATTACCATTAACGTCTTTTTCAAGTAAAATATCCAAATATGGAACAGATGTGTCAACTCCGTGGTATCTTTTATTTCTAGCTCACCAGGATATATCGCATCGACCTAAGAACGGAAGTTACCGTTGTTAATTGACAATAAAGTCGCAAATTCATCTAAATGTCGAGTTGAAGGCCATATCAAGAGTTTTCTTCGTGATGTTTCTCAAACCATTTAATTGTTGATACATTTTTACACACGGAATTGTTCACCGATTTTCTCGTTTGTCCGATAATAGCAATGATGCTTAACATCCATGGTACCCGATCCTACCGCTGATGATGTTTTAGAGGTCTGTGTTTTTCCTGTCCTTTATTTGTGTCACAGGGTGACAATTACTTGTTTTTATTTTATTTTATTTAGAATATTTAGTTCATTAAAGATTAGTACAGCTAACCTAGGTATTTATGTAGTAGATAAGATAGCTGTAGCAAATTCCTTTCATTCATTCATTCATTCATACCTGATCATTCATTGTCATCGTGTTTGTATTGTATTCTGGTTTGTCCACTGTTCCGTGTCACGTGAGTGTTTGGTTGTCACGTGATTGTCTTGTGGTCTATTATTATCCTGGGTGTGAGTTGTAAAACCAGTATGTATGGGGTGTGGTAGTTATGTACGTATGTGTGAGTCCTGGTATATATACTTATGCACGGACTATCTCTTTTTAATCTTGACTATACATTGACGATAATTTTGGATGTTCTCCTGCGAGAAATCCAGTAGTAGTTTGTCTAAGAAATTCCTTACGGAATCTTAGTGCCTTAATTGATGTGACTGGTAAGAATAATTTAATATTAATACTGATTTTAACTATTGAAATTAAATAAATATTAGTGTGTGTGAATTTGTACGAGTGTGTCATTTTCATTGTAGGTCACCTTTTTTGGTTCGTTTATACTTCATCTATCATCGTAATTGTCAGCTATTAAATTATATAAACCTTTATCGAGGAACTGTTGTGTTGCTTTATAATTTCCTGAGATGGGAGACCCGTGACATTTGTAATGTTTGAAGGGACTTTCGAGCTATTCAATATCTTCTAAAAATATCAGATATATGGGACGAGATCATGCATCTGCACACCGAATAAACTGGGAGACGTAAAAACATATTAAGTTATACAGCTTCACAAGAAAGGGAAGTTGACGACAAAAATTTAAAGTCATCAGGTTCCATTGAAATATCCAAATTTGAAACAGGCCCTAAGACATAAACTGAGAACAGACTTAAGTCAAAATTTTGATTGTCAATATTTTAAGTTTCATTTAACGCATAAGCTTGAAAAAATTGTAATAACACTTCAATTCAAATATGATAAATCAGATGTGGATACTTAAAAATTCCAAGGAACTTTTGGACAATTTGAAATCACAAGATTTCATCAAAATCAACAGCTTAAAAACTTGCGTTTTTTTAACTTTATACACAACCATTCTCCACGATAAATAAAAGTCCAGCCTTTATGATATTACTAACAGCTGCTTTTTCAGTAAAAATGGAACTAGTATTGTAAATTTACTTACCTTGTCATTGGTCATTTGCAAAATTATTTTGTTAAGAACAAGTACACTGAAGTTGACATCAAAAAGAGGATTGAGTTTCTGATTGACAATATCTATGTCGTTTTTGGAGACCTGGTCTTCCGACAATCTATTGGAATTCCCATTGGTACCAAATGCGCCCCGTTATTAGCAGACGTATTTCTGTAAGGCAGGATTTGTGCAAAATCTTGTGCGTGAAACGTAGAAAACACTTGCTGTTGATTTCAACTCGACATTTAGATATATCGACGACGTACTGTCAATTAACAGTGGTAAGAAGATGGGCGCATTTGGCGTGTGATCTGCAGGAATCATTTGTACGAAACATTTATGGTTTAAATGTCCATGATTTGGTTGGCTGAACATATCTGGTCAGATTTTACAAACACGTCCATGGTTTTTTTTTTCATTTAGTTTGAAAGACATTGTGAAATTGTAACATTTATGTCCATTTTTTTTCTAGGGGGTACTATAACATAGTAATATTTCACAAAAAATAAAACCTAAAATATATTTAATGCATGATACGTGTACATGAACATTATAAAATAGAAGATTAGAATTGATTTCGCTTGAGAACCAAACTGAACCAAAATTTATCTAATTCAAAATTTTAATACATCAGTACATAAAACGAAACTGACAAAATAAATGGTTGCTTGCCTGAATAAAAAAAAATTAACGCCCCATACCAGGTTCGAACCAAAAACTTTTCGCTTCGAGTGCACCGAACAGGTAGCCTAACTTCCTGAGCTATCACCGCTACACATGTACAAATGTCTTTAAAAGGACAAAGACGCACCACATTGACACATTTGGATTTTTTGGGGAAAAGTTCATTTTTCGTGGTCTCTGGGTCTTCTCTCCATTTTTTTTAAAAAGTGTAATCGTTTCTTTGAATTAAAATACACACAAATAACGTTTCAGAATCATGGAGAGAAGACCCAGACATAGAAAATTTTTAGAAAAATGTGTTTCAAAATGTACAATTTTGTACCAAATGTCTGATATGGCCAATTTTCAAGTTATTTTTTAGCAAATCAAAGCTCAATTTCGGGAAAATATTTTCCGTTCCTGTTGCACAGGAACCCGATAAATTAAAAAAAAAATGTTAAAATTTCATGTGACATGTCAATAAAATTTTCACTTTTCAATTACGCCCAGGTTCCTGCCGAATCCCAATCAAAAGCGCCCTCGTTCTTTCCATTCTTATGTATGTCGATACAATATATCATAATAAGCTTGAGATAAAAGATGCCACAGAGTCTGACACATCTGTTTCATATTTGTTTTTTTTACTTGAAAAAGACGTTAATGGTAATCTAATATCCAAGCTATATGATAAACGTGATGACTTTAACTTTTCTATCATCAACTTCCCTTACTTATGAAGCAATATACCTTCGTTATGGAGTTCATATATCTCAGTTGATTCGATATGCAAGAGCATGATCTACGAATAAACAATTTCTAAGACGAGGTAAATTATTGACAAAAAAGTTGCTGAAACAAGAATTTCAGCTGCCTCGTTTTAAGTCATCATTT